GAGGGGTCCCTGTGAGGAGTCCCTGTGAGGGGTCCTGCTGAGGGGTCCCTGTGAGGAGTCCCTGTGAGGGGTCCTGCTGAGGGGTCCCTGTGAGGGGTCCCTGCGAGGAGTCCCTGTGAGGGGTCCTGCTGAGGGGTCCCTGTGAGGGGTCCTGCTGAGGGGTCCCTGTGAGGGCATCCTGCTGAGGGGTCCTGCTGAGGGGTCCTTGTGAGGGGTTCCTGTGAGGGGTCCCAGTGAGGGGTCCTGGTGGGGGTGTCCTGCTGAGGGGTCCTGGTGGGGGTGTCCCTGTGAGGGGTCCTGGTGGGGGGTGTCCCTGTGAGGGGTTCTGCTGAGGGGTCCCAGTGAGGGGTCCCTGTAAGGGGTCCCGGTGAGGGGTCCTGGTGGGGGGTCTCTGTGAGGGGTCCTGCTGAGGGGTCCTGGTGGGGGTGTCCCTGTGAGGGGTCCTGGTGGGGGGGGCCTGGGCAGAGGCCATTGTCTGCATCACACAGACAATCTAGAACCCACCGTCCCACAGAGCCACATTCTAGAGCTCAGGGCTGGGGACCCCTCCCCAATTCCTGAGGCCCCCAGGGAGAGACGGGGGCCCTTCTCTCCATGCTCCTTTTGCGGCAACTCCCTGGCACGGAAGCCCAGGGGACAGATCGTCCCAGGGGAGGCTGGGTCCGTAGGCTGCTCTGAGTGCGGCTCCTGCACGGACGAGGTAAAGGTCTCCCTCCTCTCCAGAGGACAGCCTCGACCCCCACCGCCGCCCGCCCACTCCTTGCCACCGTCCTCTTGCTAGCCCCGAGAGCCAAGGGGGTGGCCAGTCGAGGGCCAGAATGGGCAGCCCCTCGGGCATGTGCTGCAGGGTCTGCCCCACTCCCTGGCTCCCAGCTGGAGACACCTGCAGGGGACACTGAGGCAGGCGTGTCCTGGCAGTGTGGGCAGCAGCAGGGGTGGGGGTAGTGGAGCCAGCAGGAGACAGGGCAGGGGCTTCCCAGCACCTGGTCACAGTTTCATCCACGACAGAGCCAGCCATGGCGGAGGAGGTGTGGGTGGGCACCTGGAGGCCCCATCGCCCCCGGGGGCCCATCATGGCCCTCTACAGCAGCCCCGGACCCAAGTACCTGATTCCACCCACCACGGGTAAGCGCTGAGGGCCTGGGGTGGGGCTGGGGCCCTGAGGGGATGGGGGGTATGGGGGTGCCTGCGGAGTCCAGGGGTCCTGGGGCACATTTCCTGACACCCACTGGGGAGGAGGCAAGTCAGGCTTCAGCTGCTCAGAGTCCACTGGCACACAGGCTTCGTGAAGCACACGCCCACCAAGCTGCGTGCACCAGCCTTCAGCTTCCGAGGGGCCCCCATGCTCCTGGCAGAGAACTGCTCCCCGGGGCCCCGCTACAGTGTGAACCCCAAGGTACTGAGGACCGGCAAGGACCTCGGCCCTGCCTTCTCCATCCTGGGGCGCTACCGCACCAAGACCAAGCTGACCCCTGGCCCGGGTGAGTGACCCTGCCTCAGGTTCCTTACTTTGGACAGACGAGCATGCCCCTACCTCAGCCCTGCCCCGCTCTGTGGGGTGGCTGCTGCACGTCCCCAATTTCCTGCAGGTGAGGCAGGCCAGGGTGTGAGCGCTCAGCCACCCCGGTCCCTCCTGCCCCATCTGCTCTTGAGGGGGCACCATCAGGCCTGGGCAGAGAAGCTCGGAGACCCGAGAGCCCAGCTCCAACCTGGGTCTTTCTCCACCTGGTCCAGGGGCCAGACCCATGTCAGATCCCACTGTCCCTGCTCAGAAGCAAGCTTTGTTCCCCCAGGTCCACAGTCAGCATGTCCATCCTGGACACCCCCAGCCAGCCCCGGCCACCATCTGTGTTGGGGCCCAGAGGTTCCGTGCCTGGAATATCGAAGAGTCCTCTTTGAGCCCCCAAACCTAGCCAGCTATCCTCATTGTCCCAGCACCCTCCCCCCGTTCCTCCCCCAGGTGACTACTTTCCAGAGAAATCCACCAAGCATGTGTTCGACTCTGCACCCAGCCACTCCATCTCTGCCCGGACTAAGACCTTCCGAGTGGACAGCACCCCAGGTCTGTGGCAGCCCAGACAGTCCCCAGCCAACTGGACTTGGGGGTCCAGGATGGGGTGGGTGAGACAGGGCAGCGCAATGGAGAGAACGCCAGGGTAGGAGCCTGTGGCCCACTCTGTCCTGAGGCTCTGCATCCACTCCACAGGCCCTGCCGCGTACATGCTACCTGTCGTGATGGGGCCCCACACCGTCGGCAAGGTCTCCCAGCCCTCCTTCTCCATCAAGGGCCGCAGCAAGCTGGGCAGCTTCAGCGATGACCTGCACAAGGCAAGGGTCACACCAGCCAAGGGCAAAGCACTGCCTCCCACGAGAGCCCTCCCCCCAACCCAGGACCACTGGCTTGACCCTACCCTGCTGAAACCCCTCAGCCCTCCAGCCCTGCCTCTGGGTCCCTGCCACGTGCTGGGTGACACGTGGTGGTGGGAGGGGTGGACAACAGACCAGAGGGGAGAGGCCAGGCCCCGGGAGGCAGGGACAGTGCTGAGGACAAGCAGAGAAGGGATTTAGGGAGCGCTGTCTGGAGGGCGAGAGGCAGTTTTAGGGCAGCATGGAAGGAAGGAAAAAGGAGAAAATAAGCCATGAGCCATTTGGGGAAAGAGGGTTTCAGCTTCGGAAACTGCCAGTGTAAAGGCCCTAGGCTGGGTACGTGCCTGGGCGGATTGAGGGGCCCAAAACCCATTGTTGACCTCGCCAGCCTAGGCCCCTGCCCTCTAGTCCAACAGGTCAGCTCCCCCACTGGACAGGGCCACACTCACACTCACAGGAGGGATGTCCCTGCCAGAGTGAGGCCAAAATCTGACACAGGAAAGGTGTCCCCCAAGCAGTGGGGTGTGGTCCTCACAGTGCGATGGAAAACAAAAGTGGACACTGATGCACAGACGCTGTGCCAGGCTGCTCCCTCACCTCTGCAGCCACGGGCCCTGCAGGCTGGGCCTGTCTGAGCCTCCTCTGCCCCACAGACCCCAGGTCCCGCAGCCTACCGCCAGACCGACGTGCAGGTGACCAAGTTCAAGGCTCCGCAGTACACCATGGCTGCCCGGGTGGAGCCCCCAGGGGACAAGACCCTCAAGCCAGGCCCCGGAGCCCACAGCCCTGAGAAGGTTTGGGAAGAACACAGCCCTGAGGGGGTGGGGGGCACAGCCTGGGTGGGGGTGTGGAAGATAGTGTGGTGGGGGACATGCCCTACAGCTGTGGTCCCCAACCTTTTTGGCACCAGGGACCAATTTCGTGGAAAACAATTTTTCTGCAGATGGGGGGGGGGCGGGGGAGGCGGTGGAGCTCTGTGGCCTGGTTGATGGCCTGGCGTTGGGAGCGCAGACCTACAGAAAGTGGGGTCAGGAGGTGGGGCCCACAGCCTGGAGGGGATGGGGACACAGCCTACAGGGGGCACATGGAGGGGGACACAGGCTGGGGGGTGAAGTGGAGACAGAGCCTGGGGGGTACACAGCCCGAGGGAAGGGCACAGCTGGGAGAGCAAGAGGGGAAGGGGCTGAGCCCTCAGGACCCCGTCCATCTTCAGCCCAAGCCCCAGTGGCAACCCTTCAAGGTCATGGGGCCAAAGGGGGGTGACCTCGTGCTGTGTCCACATCCCGCAACACAGCCTTTGTGCTTGACTGCCTCAGCCTGGGTTTCTTGAGGCAGCAGCCAGGCCCCAGCCAGGGCCGATAGCCTTCGGAGTGGGGACAGGGCTGCCAGTTCCCCTCACAGCCTCTCCTCTCCCAGGTGATCCTGACCAAGCCCTGCGCCCCCATCGTCACCTTCGGCATCAAACACTCCGACTACATGACGCCGCTGGTCGTGGACGTGGAATAGCCCAGCCCCAACCGCATTCGCCAGCCCCGCCTCCGAGCATCGCGTTCCCACAGCAGATTCTCAAGGAGTCTCCACCAGCTGGGCTTCAGCCAGCCTGCCCTGCAGGGCAGAGCACGCTTATTTGGACAATTGTGACCAGTTATTTTTTCTACGCTACTTTCCCATTTGCTAATGTTGTTTCCTGTCATGCCCAGATTACTTAATAAATCATGGATTCCATTAGCAAGGGTTTGTCTTGGAAAGATCAAGCTTTTCCAGAAACGTCCCGTTGTCAGCACTGGCCCACGAGGGGTCCGATCCTGGCTTCTAGGGCCTGGGAGCCTCAGACACCCTGCCCCTCACCTGACGTCCTGATGCTTTCTGCCTTGAACTTCAAAGGCAGCCACACCTCTGCTCATCACCGCCCTGAGAGGTGGAGTCTGTGTCTCCCTGTGAACCTGGACCAGAGCGTGTGACGTGCTGAATAAAAGTGCGTGGCAGAAGTGATGCCACCTGATTTTAGTCCAGGCACACAACAAAGGAAACAGCTTCTGCCCAAATACCCCCACTCCCCGTGTCCCTGTTCACACCTGGCACCAGCCACTATGTCATGAGGAAGCTTCCTGCCTGGTGACCCAACATGGTGTCCTCACAGTCAGCCCAGCCAGGCCCTCCTCTCACACCAGCACTGACCTGAGTGAGCCTTCAGGGGAGGGCAGCCCCAGCCCCACACCTCCCCGCACAGCTTCAGCAAGGCAAACAGCCAGCCCTGCTGGGCCATCTGAAGTTCTGACCACAGTAACAGAGACAATAAGGCACTAACGCTATTTTAAGTGAAGAAGTTTTAGGGTGATCTGTTGCACACCAACAGACAACAGGGAGTGTAAGGAGGATGTGGACAGGAAAGGGGGCATTATCAGCTGGGACTGAGAGGGGGTGTTTCCAGAGGCTGCCCAGGAGTCCAAGGCCAGGTCTCAAGGAGTGAACTCCAGATTTCACCTCAGCCTTGAGGGGCAGTCACTTCTGGGTGGGTGGCCCTGCCAGACATACCATGGGACTATCACCTGCACCTGTATGAGCACAGTACAGCTGCTCCTACTGGGCTGTGATCGTGCCAAGCTGCATATTCTAAGCACTTCACGTTTATTCATTTAACCCTATGAGGTAATGCTATCATCACCCTCATCTGAGCTTCAGGCATCGGGGCAGAGCAGGGCCAGGCAGCAGGAAGTGGTGACTCCCTTGCTGCCCTGCCCAAGGCAGCCCTGAGGGGTGGATAAGGGAGGACGCAGGGATTCCCCCAAGGGTGAGGATGGGAAGGGGAAGGGTGTATCGTACCAGAACCAACAGCCAGCCTGTGGACCTGGGTCAGCTCCAGACAAAACTTCCTCAAATGCCAAGGAAATGAGACAACGAAGACTACTTGTTTATGAGGCCTCATTTATTCCACTTTTCACTGGTAATATGTCTTGCCCTTGAATTATGAGACAGAGCTGGCAGTTTGTCCTCACCTGGCAGAGTGGGCAACCCCAACCCTTACATGGGCCCCCCAGGTCCCTCTGTGCTTTACTGGTGTCAGAGGTCAAATCAGAAACCCCACATGTCCAGAGAGTAAGGTGTGCAGGGGGTCAGATCTGACAGTGAGGGGAAAGAAAAGCAAACCAGAAAGGAACCATAACTCAGACCCCAAAGTACCTGGGTGGGCTGCAAACAGCCAGAGACAGAGAGATGGGGAGGGAACAGCTCGGAGACAGCAAAGAACTTCTCCAGGACAGCCCCTGAGAGGCAGTCTCACTCCTAGTTTGCATCAGCAAGGAGAGTGGGCGCTGCTGCAGCAACAGCCTCCTGTGGTCTGCTTTGGCTCCCACAGCTCAGCTTCTCAGCAATCGGAGGTCAGCCCCACATGGTCCAGGAAAAGATGGGGGGACACGGAGCTGGGGTGTGGATGTGCCATCTGCAATGACCACATGGGGACAAGACAGAGGCAACAGCCACCATGCTTGGTGACCAGGGGACAGGCCCTGACAAGCAGAAGAGTATGCCAAGCCATGGCACACAAAGATGCTGGGGTGCCAGGAATGACAGGGGCCCAAAAAAGGACAATCCAAGGAGGCGGCAAGCTGGAAACAAGACTAGGCCAGCTTGGAGGGTTTCAGCGCAGTAGCAAAGCCCCAGAGACCTAGAGGCAGCTGAGCCAACCTCAAGGGTGAGGTGTGCACTTGCACTGGGTAGGGGAGGAAGCAGGTGGACCCTCCAGGAGGCAGTGCAATGGAAAGGCCAGGTGACGAGGAAAGGGGCTGTGGTGAGCGCTGGTGAAGGGTGGGCCTGCTGTGTGGAAGAGGGACCCAAAGGGACTCGGAGCTGCAGGTCAGAACAAGGTGGGGCTGTGACTCATCTGCAGTCAACCTGGAGCTCAGAGGCACTTCTGCACGACACATGGTGTGGTCACACCAGGGAGTAGACAGTGAGATGGAATGACCAGGAGACAGAAAATGGGAACAAGGAAAGAGAAGTGCACATAGCCACTTTGCTACTTCTTTAACGGTGTTTTTATGCCAAGGCAAGGGGGCTGGGACCCCAAAAGTTGCTGCCCTGCCAGCCCAGTGGTTTGGTTCGTGGGAAAGTTGGCCAGGACCAGTGGGCAGTGAAGGCCCAGGGAGAGGGGGTGGGAAGACAGCCTGAAGAAGCTGGGGACAAGGAGGGTGGCACAGGTCTCCATCACAGCCAGGAGGACTGGCTGGGCCTGGTGGGGGGTGAAAGGTACCAGTAAACTGTGTAGCAACAAATCTCAGCAGGTGGCCTACATGACCCACAGAGAGGGCCCTCACGGGGAAGCCTCACACCCCATACTATGCCTGACTCTGAAATGCCACACTGGCCCATTTCTAGGTCTGTTCTCCTGGAAACCCATCTTTGGTGCTGGGTAGATCATGAAACCTGAGAATTCAAGTTTCTGCTGCTGGATACACAGCCACACAACCCAGGAGGATCCCGGCCCAGTAGCTAAAGTCAAGGCTGTGTCCACTCCTTCCTCCACAAGCCATGTCCCTCCCAGGGCTCTGGCTTCATCCACAGGACTGGAAGGCATGCACAGAGGACTCGCAGCAGCAAGTCTGGCCTGTGCTCAGCACCCTCGGCCAGGAGGAACTGCCATCTCCAGGCCCAGGACGCTCAGTCAGAGTAGATGGCACTCACTTGAGGTTCATAGCCACGGACCCTTCCTGTGTCAGCTCCAGACACCTCAGATCACAGACATGGCCTCACTCAGGTAAGGACACGCCACACGGGCCTTAAAATGCCAGAGCTCAGAGAGGTGGGAGAAGTGCTGCTGGGCTCAGGTGACCACATCCAGGATTCAACAGCTGTTCAATCCTGGCTCTTCCTGACACACTGTGGCCCCAGCTCTGCTGGCGTCTCTAGCACCTAGGGATAGGGGTGGAGGCTGGGCTTTGGTTTCCCCCAAAGTAAAGGGTCCTTTCTATACATGGGACCAGTCAATATGAGCTCATCAGGTCAGAGGCAGCCGCAGCCTCCTACCACATAGGAAGATTCCTAACCCACGATTGCAATTTCAAAGGAATATCTTGTACCTAAGTCCTCAGGAGCCCAGAACACTGAGTGGGGAAGGCCTGGGCTACCCTTGGCAACCACAGAAGCCAGCTCCCACTGGCTCACGTCCTTGTCCTTGACAAGAAGTAGGAGAGAATGAAGAAGACCACGATTAGGCCCACGGCCACACCACAAAGAAGCTTCCGGTTGTCTCGCCCAGATCTTGCCATCGTAGAAAAGCGCTTCACACTCCCTGTAAGCAGGCTGGTCATGCTCGTGAAATCCGAGTCCTGAAGGAGGAATCCCAGCAGGATCACACAGGAGCGGTGCCTTGACCACCCACCCGCACCAGTGCTGAAGGAGAGGAGACACAGCAGGTAGTGTGGGGGCAGAGCTGGCTGACTCGCGCATACTGCAGACCCTTACCATCCCATCCAGGTACCGGTTCTGGTCCTCTGCATCCCTATCAATGTCTAGGGCCAGCTGGTCAGGATACAGAGAGAGCAGGGTTAGGCTAGAACAGACAGAATGCAGCATTCACCCACCCTTCAAGACTAGCCAGATCCTGTCAACAGCTCTGCCAGACATGTTGTCACCAACAGAGGTCAGAAAGGTCCAGGTGTCACCTGGGGCCTCATGAAGTTACGTACACATAACCAGGAATTAGACAAGGAGCATAGAAAACTGCCTGAACCCCCCACCCCCAGACTCTCTAGCCTCCCCCCATCCCCACTCCCCAAGAATACCAAGAAAAGGTGAAAGAAGAGGACCACAACTGACCGATTTAAGCCTGGTGACCTTGGAGGCCAGGCTGTCAGCCATCCGCTTGTTCTCCCGGTCTAGAATCTCTTCCACAGCACCAGGACTCTGACCTGTGAGAAAAGAAAGCAGATGCTGCATTCACCCAAGCACAGCCCCTGACCCCTCTCATTCCAATGGTGAGCAGGTCCAGCCCTAACCCAAGTTCCAGAGGGTAGACCTTGCACACGTGAGACAAGCTGCATAAAGGACATGTGTGAGCACCTGTTTTGTGAAAACACATCCTGCATACACATTCAGGCAGGCATGGGCAGGCACCCAAATTGGGTTCAGTCCAATCAACACTTTCTGAAAATAACTGTACCAGAACCTGGACCAAGCCCTACAGTGCTGGTGAGATGCAACACTTGCCTGTACAGATGTCCCATCTGCATATATGGAACCCAAGCTCAGAAAGAGAGTTAACTCTGTTAAGGACCTGGGAAATACTTAGGAAGCACACCCAGGAAGGAACCCCAGAAAGGGACAACCTTTCAGCTGGGTCCTGCAGCAGTAACAGGTAACCAAGATGAGACCCTGGGAAGGCCCTTTACCACAGAGAAAATAACTGAGCAAAGCTCCCCAACTCCCCAAAATGGGAGCTGAGATCAAACCGGAGATCCTTTGTCTGCATCACACACAGGGCTTCCTCCTACACCATGAGCACAGTGCTTGCAGAGACTGGGTCAGGTGACAAGGAATGCCTGGCACATCAGGTGGGTGAGAACTGATGTGCCAGCGCGGAGTGCAAAGTCCCCACTGACCCAAAGCATGGAAAAAACAGCCTCAATGCGACCCATCTAAGTGGAGTGGCGAAGTCCCAGGAATCACTGACGTGTACAGATAGATCCCAAAGGAAGGGGAGCTAGCGTCCTGCCAACCATTTCCTGGTCGTTAATTCCTTCGATCGTCACAACAGCCCATCCCACTCTGCAAACGAGAACATAGGCTTCGAGAGGGGAAATGGGGCGCTCGGAGTCCAAATCAGCAGAGGCCTGCCGGGACCCTCCCACCGCACACAGCCTCTACCAGAGGCGGCCCAGCCGAGGGCCGGTCCGTGCTCCAGCACACCTCGACCCCACGCAGAATGACCTCGCGGGGAGCGGCGGGGACAGAGACCCCAGCGAACTCTCGCCCAGAGCGGCTGCGCCGCCCACCCAGTCCCGCCCCCGCGGCAGTGCCGACCGAAACCCGGCCCAGCTCGGACCCCGCTCCGCCCCCAGCAGGGTCCTCGGCGCCGCGGCCACCCCAGCGGGGCAGGGTCGGGCACACACGACTCCCGCGGGCAACGGTGTCGCTTCTAACATGGCCTCGTCCCCAAATGTTCCGCTCCCCGCGCTCACCCCGGGCCCAGTCCGCCATCGCGCCCCGCGCCAGTCCCGGCTCGCCGCCGCCTCCGAGCCACCGCCTCCGACGCGGCGCGGTCACGGGACAGGGACTTCCGGCCCCGCCCACGCAGACCACGCCCAAGCTACCCCACCCCTCCCTCCTCAGGCTCGCTCAACTTCCGGCCGCGGGGGCCGGGCCGGCGACTATCCGGGAACAGACGTGACGTATGCTTCTCCGCCCGGGAACAGGTGGGGCGGGGCCATTTGAGTTGGGACGGCCGGGTTGCGAGTATCTCAGTGCCGAGCCTGCGGTGCTGAGGAGAAGCCCTGTCAGGCTCTCGCAGTTAGGAGAACTCGGCAGGGCCGGGTGAGAGGAGCGGGCTCCTCCGGCAGGAGACAGTGGGGAGCCCGGGTGTAGTGGGCTGAGGCCTGGCCCGGTGGGGCAAGGCCGGCTCCTCCGGAAAGTGGAGCTCAGGTCCTCGGACAGCGCCCGGAGCGACTGAGCGCGGCGTGAAACAGCGGAGAACGACAGAGAATGAAAGAGGGGATGGTGGGGACGACCGGGCCCTGGCTAGGCGCTCAGCAGATGCCTGCTAGGAGAGGCGTGGGATATGCTTACACGTTACCCATCACCGTGAGGGGCCTTTCTCGAGTGTCCTTTAATCCCTGTGACAACCACTGAGAGACTTTTGCGTCCGGGTTCGCTTCCTTCCTGACCTTCCCGCCTCGCTCTCCCCCTTCCTCAGCCCACCACGATCGTTCCCACCGTTACACTTGCTGCTGCTTCTGCCTGGAGGGACCTTCCTCCGGATTTTTCCTGGCTCGCTTCCTGTCGCCGGTTTCACCGAAAATGGCACTTCCTCAGAGCCCTTTGCACTGTGACAGCCCCAATTCGTCTCGTTTGTTTTTCCTTGTCTGTCTTGCCCTCTGGAAGATAAGCTCCACAAAGGCAGGGACCTGTGGGTCCTGCTCGCCCGCATCCCCAGTGCCTTGCATGCAGTAGGCGCGCGACAGATGCCTAGCAAACCAAGTGGCTTAGGACTTGGGCTTCCGCTCTGCCTCCCCGTTCTGTGGGTCAAGAGGGGCGTCAGTGTGTGTAGCAGGGAAGATCGGGGAGGCTGAGCTTCGTTCCGGTTAGAAATTCCGGCCCAAGAAGTGAGGGGGCCACTGCTCAGCTCACAGCGCCTCGGCCCCGAGGGCGGCTCGTCACCCAAGTCTGGTCTTGAAGCTGGGGCTGAGTTGGCGGCCAGGTCTTCAGTCCGCCCGCGCTGCTCCGGCCGCGCCACCTTAAGGCGCGCCACCTTAAGGCGCGCACGTCCCGCCCGGCCTCCACCAAGCCGCGTTCACCGGGTCCCGGCCTCCGCTGCGCGCCCCGCACGCCCCTTCCCGGCTTCCCCCGCGCACCGACGCGGGGCTTCCTGGGCCAGGGCGGGGCTGGCGAGCTGTGGCCCGGAACCGGGGAGCTGGACCTCCGCCTTCCCGGCCAGAGCTTCCCGGCGCCGGTCCCGGAGCGCCATGGAGCCCCGGGCGGTTGCGGAAGCCGTAGAGACAGGGGAGGAAGACGCGATTATGGAGGCTCTGCGGATATACAACCAGGAGGTGAGCGGCAGCCCGAGGCCGTGGGACGGGCTCGGAGGGGGCGAGTGGTGCACGCGCGCGTCCGGCAGGGCGCTGTGTAAGTGAACCACAAGGAGCCCCGTGGGGTGGGGGGCCAGGTGTGGGGTGAGTGACCGGGGGAGAGTGGCGTGCACCCGTTGGGCGGCAGGTGCGTAGGGGTGGGGCGAGTGTGGACTCTGCCATCGGTCCTGAGCGGTGGCTGGCAGCTGCTGCAGAGTTAGAGACTGAGAGGCTGCCCCCATCTGCACCCCTACTCCCATATGGACTTGAGCCCACTGGGTCTCTCCCCAGCACTCCCAGAGCTTCACGTTTGACGATGCCCAACAGGAGGACCGGAAGGTGGGTGCTGGCCCAAGGGGTAAAGGGGCAGGGACGGGTGGCCCAGGAATAGGGGCCCAGTGGAGCTGCTTTTCTTCCTATCTACAGAGACTGGCGGAGCTGCTGGTCTCCGTCCTGGAGCAGGGCTTGCCACCCTCCCACCGTGTCACCTGGCTTCAGAGTGTCCGAATCTTGTCCCGGGACCGCAGCTGCCTAGATCCCTTCACCAGCCGCCAGAGCCTGCAGGCACTGGCCTGCTATGCTGGCATCTCTGCCTCTGAAGAATCTGTCACAGAGCCCCCGGACATGGATGTTGTACTTGAGTCCCTCAAGTGCCTATGCAACCTCGTGCTCAGCAGCCCCATCGCACAGATGCTGGCAGCAGAGGCCCGCCTGGTGATGAAGCTGGCAGAGCGTGTGAGCCTGTACCGTGAGAGGAGCTTCCCCCACGACGTTCAGTTCTTTGACTTGCGGCTGCTCTTCCTGCTGACAGCCCTGCGCACTGATGTGCGGCAGCAGCTGTTTCAGGAGCTGAATGGAGTTCGCTTGCTGACTGACACACTGGAGCTGACGCTGGGGGTGACTCCTGAAGAGAGTCCCCCCAAGCTCCTTCCTCCCCAAGAGACTGAGCGAGCCATGGAGATCCTCAAAGTGCTCTTCAACATTACCTTCGACTCTGTCAAGAGGGAGGTGGAAGAGGTGAGGGCTGATCTGAGTCCATGGGTGGGGCCCAATTCAGCCCAGATGTTTCCTGGAGATGCCTCCCACCAGGCACCTTCACATTTCTGGGTGTCAGACATGGAGTGGACAGGAACTCCCAGCCTGTTGGGAGGAGGCTAAGGAGGTTCCATGTGTTAGGCAGGAGCCTCAAGAAAAGTTTCTGAAGGTGGGGCCACTTCTGGCACTTGTGGCCTGACAGGAGGGCTATGTGTGTGGTGGGAGGAGACTATGGGAGACCCTACACCATGAGGCTGTCGGTGTGGTGCCAGGGCACAGAGTGTAACTTCATTCCAAGGAGATATATTAACATTCTTGATTAGGGAAGCGCTCTGAGAAGAACACTGGTGGAGTTTTTAGGAAAACAGCAGTGGTCATCTTTAGCTTTAGCACTGGCCAAAGTGACCTAGGGGCCAGGTGTGCAGTAGGAGGAGATGCATAGTCAATGCCACACAGGCCTGGAGTGCAGCTGACAGCAATGGGGAGGAGTGGGGCTTAGCCTCACAGAAACCCCTTTCTTTGATCAGGAAGACGCTGCCCTTTACCGGTATCTGGGCACCCTTCTTCGGCACTGTGTGATGGTTGCTGCTGCTGGAGACCGCACAGAAGAGTTCCATGGGTGAGGGTGGGGCCTGTTGTGGGAGGAAAGTATGCTCAGATATCCAGACACTGGTCCCTGGCCCTGGCTGTAGAGCAGAACAAGCTAGAAGCCCAGGCCCCACCCTAGGAGGGGGTGTGGGTGGGACTGGACATCAGTGTGTTTCCAAAGAGCCCCTGGTGCTTCTAGCATGAGGCTAGACATAAGCCATGAATTTGGTGGCAGGAACGTGCTACCTCGTCGACCTTGACCAGTGGTGACAGGTGATGTGTTATTTACAAGGTAACTTGGTCCCTTGCCCTTGTTCTTGGGTGACCTGCTTCTGGGCTGCTTTGGGTTCTAGAAATCATCTGGTGCTTCAGCCCAGACAGGGTAGAGCAGGCGGGGCATCTGCAGAGAATGCTGTTCCCTCCTGGTGGGGGGGGGGGGTGACTTGCCCCACACAGCTGAGTGTGAGTGCCTTTGAGATCAGTCCCTGCCCTTAGCTTTGGTCCCTAGGGCTGTTCCTTGGGCCCCCAGATGCTGGCTCATGTAATGTGTAGCCCCAGCAGGGCCTATTAACCCCCTCATTTGTCCTCAGCCACACAGTGAACCTTCTGGGCAACTTACCCCTGAATTGTCTGGACATCCTCCTCACCCTGGAGCCACACACAGGCTCCCTGGAGTTCATGGGAGTGAATATGGATGTGATTCGTGTCCTCCTTGGCTTCCTAGAGAAGCGTTTGCACCAGGTAGGCTGGGGACTGCTGTGCAGGCTTTCCTGCACAGCTGTGGTCACTGCTTCTGCACCATCCACACTGGTAAGTGGAGATCATCTTGGTGTGATTCGGGCAGTTCCTTCAGCTGCCAGGGTGAGTCCAGATCCTTCCTCCCTGAGGAACGTGTGGATACCCCACATACACTTGAAGGTTTCACTTTTGCTGATTACTACAAGGAAACAAGTTTTTCAGAGTCTAGCAAAGTGCTTGTTCTTTTTTAGATCTTTTTGTGGATCCTTTTTGGTCCTGAGAAGCCCCCAATCCCTGCTTTTGACTCTTGGACTCCCACTGTCACAGTGCACTGGCAGCCCTTGATTTGTATCAGCTGTCCCTCAGCGTCCTGAGGAGACCCACAGAAGCCTCTGAGCGGAGGTTCCTTCTGATTTCTGTGGCTGCACCATGGACCATCTGGACAGCTAGAATGCAAACCATCTTCTGGGGGCTTCTGGACGTTAGGCAGGCTGTAGTGCAACAGACCAAGATTTAGTAGACCTAGACCTCTGGGAGTCCCACAATGCCTGAGTAGGGGATGCTCACAGTGCATGTGAGCCAGTCAGGATGGGGAGCTGGTGCCGGACACATGGGCTGTGGACATCTGGGCCTGTTGCTGCCACTGCTGGTGTTGGGGTCCAGGGAGGTAACATGGGAGGCTAGGGAGGGTAAGAAACTCCCTGCTCTCTGAACACAGAGTAGACATTCTGTTCTTATTTCTTTTTGCCACCTTTTCCTGGGAGCAATATGTGTGCCAGTGGTGTGCTAACAGCTTTAAGTGCTTTGTGTTTTTATAACCCTGGTTTATAGTTGGGGAAGTTAGACTTAAAGTAGTTATTTGCCCCAAGTTATAAAGCTTACAAGTAACTTGCTGAGTTAGTTCCTGGTCCTGACCCTTTCAAAGCAGAAAAAGACACCCACAGCCCACTCTTGGCCCTGGGATAACTGTAGCGGGGCCTCTTCTCAAGCCCCTGCCACCTAGACCAGCTGGGTTGTGCGTGCAAATATGCATGCAGCCCTGCGCCCCCGCCCCGCCAGCCTCGAGTCTGGTAGGAGCACAGCCCATGACAGAGGCTCCTCTGCAGACGCACAGGCTGAAGGAGAGCGTGGCTCCCGTGCTGAGCGTGCTGACGGAGTGTGCCCGCATGCACCGCCCGGCCAGGAAGTTCCTGAAGGCCCAGGTATGGGGCAGAAGAGCTGGGACTCCTTGGGGACTTGGGCTGGGCCCTGGTCACAGACCCCAGCTACTCCAAGCCAAGGTTTAGGGACAGCTGCCTCCCCAGGTGCTGCCCCCACTGCGGGATGTGAAGACCCGGCCTGAGGTTGGGGAGTTGCTGCGAAACAAGCTCGTCCGCCTCATGACGCACCTGGACACAGACGTGAAGAGGGTGGCTGCCGAGTTCCTGTTTGTCCTGTGCTCTGAGAGCGGTGAGTCGGGGAGGCCGGGAGGCCTGCCCTGCCTTGGCCACGAGTGCACACTGACCTCTGCCTTGCCCCTCAGTGCCCAGGTTCATCAAGTATACAGGTTACGGAAACGCTGCTGGCCTCCTGGCTGCCAGGGGCCTCATGTCAGGGGGCCGGCCCGAGGGCCAGTACTCAGAGGATGAGGACACAGACACAGACGAGTACAAGGAAGCCAAGGCCAGGTGTGTGCGTCTAACATTTGGGGCTGCTCCCACAACCCCCTAGTCCCTGCTCCTACACCCATCTGGACTCCCATGGGGTGGGTGGGACCGGATGACAAACAGGCAAGATCTTCCAGAGTCAGGGACTGGTTCCTAAGTGATGTGTACCCTGACATCAAGAAGTGTCATTCTGAGAACACAGAGACCGAGAGAATGGTCAGGTGGCAGGAGCTGGTTATCTGTGGTACTCCTGGAGGGAGGTCTCTTCCTGCCTTGTTGCCTTGTCCCCCTCACCCCACAGGGGAACTAGGTTCCTTGCCAGTCCAGGCCTGAGCAGGAAAATGTGGGACTTCACCAACCCCACGCAGCCCCTCCTATCCTGGAGAGTCCCTAACACATTCCCCACACTCCCCTGGGAAACAGCATAAACCCAGTGACCGGCAGGGTGGAGGAAAAGCTGCCTAACCCCACGGAGGGCATGACGGAGGAGCAGAAAGAGCACGAGGCCATGAAGCTGGTGGACATGCTTGACAAGCTCTCCAGGTGTGTGGTGTTGGGAGGGCCTGCAGCCAGATGGGAGAACAGATGCATGTCCTGTCTGAGCCCCAGGACGTGGGATCATAGGGCATGGGGGTCCAGCAGGGCTGCATTACTGAAGTTGGGAATCACTTGCCCTGGCAGAAATCCCCTAGGGAAGGGTTAGGGTGAGATCAATATTGTACCCATTTTACAGACAACAACTGAGGCCCATAGAAATTCAAAAACTGCCTAATATCTTAAAGCCATTAGGTAGCAGTTGGGATTTGGACCTGATTAACACAACGTCCCACCCAGGCCTTCCCAGTAAATGGGAGCAGCCCACTTGGTGGAGAGGAAGGTAGCAGCCAGGGGTGAGCAGAACCCCTGCCCAGCCCACTGCGCCCTTTCCCCAGCCCCACTGCACCTTTCCCTGCAGGCACAGAGTCATCCAACCCATGGGGATGAGTCCCCGGGGCCACCTTACATCCCTGCAGGACGCCATGTGCGAGACTATGGAGGGGCAGCTCTCCTCAGACCCTGACTCGGACCCTGACTGAGGATGTCAGCTGTTCTGCTCCCCCATCAGAACTGGTGCTGCTTCTGGAAACTTGCTTGGGGCTGCAACCCCAGGAAGCCACATGCGGCCGGCCACACGGCTCCACGCCCCTCCCTCCAAGCTGGAGACCTTTTCTCTTTACTTCCAAGGTTCTGTTTGTGATCTGCCTCTGGTCCAGTTTCTTATCTCTAGGACTGTGATGATCTTTTTCTGCTATAACTCTGGGCAGGCAGCCTTGATTTCCACAGATGAAGTACTTTCTTTCACATGTGCCAAGAGGAATGTGTGCAGAAGCTGCTACCTAAGGGCAGGGCCTACCTAGACACACAGATGAGAGTGCATATAGGGGGGTATGGGCTGAGTGTGGGCACATGTAGATGCAAGACATCTGAGGTTGGAGCACTGGCCCAGAGCCAGTATGTTGGGGCATGTGCATTTTACAAGGAAAAAGAATCTGCTGGAACTTTATATATGAATATGTCAAACACCCACTTCCAAGGTATGCTCTGTTTCTGTCCCCACTGAGCACAGGGCTGGTAGCCTCTTCTATGTTCTTGGTCCTGGCGTAGCCACCCACTGTTGTATCCACAGCACATGGGTTCTTGCTGATTGTGGCAGTTAAATCTCAATCCTTCCACTGGCTTAGTCTATAAATACTTACATGAAGGAAAGTGCCGCTTGTGCAAACATAGTACATTGAGATTTCTATTGTGCACTACAAGTAGCCACAGAAACATCATCCTGGAATAAAGAGTTTGGGGCAAGAATGTGCATGTGTGAATATATGTGTAAAATAGCAAGTAAAGAAACTTGAAGTAGACTAGAAACTAATTTTGTTCTTTGTAGAATTCAATCTGTTGATCACGACTCATTGAAGGGCAAGGTCACGGGTCCCCTCTCCATGCTAACAGTTAAATCTGTTCTATCAGCTCCAGCCCAGGCCAGGCAAGGTTCAGGGACGGGGGTGCTATTGCACAGGAAACAAAGCTGACAACGCTAGGAAGGAGGATGTGCACATGGGTATGAGCCAAGGAAGAGGCAGTCAGTGCCAGAATGGGGCACTGTCAGAGCTGGGCCTTGGTCCAACCCCAGGAAGGTCTGCCCCCACATCACAGTGTGGCCTGAGCACGGGTCAAGGGAGTCCGACAAGCTGCTGGGAGCCAGCCTACATCTTAGGTGAGTGATGCTTCTATGTCTAAGAGATTAATTCTAATAGCATCACCTGGTGGGTGACAATGTGAGGACCGGAGACAAGCCAGGAAGTGCTAGAATATTCTAGAACATATCATTTCCCCAAGGAGATACTAAATGTGGTAGAGTCAAGGGTATGATACCCTTCAGAGAGGGGATCTGGGATGGAAGAGAAGGTGCTGGCACCTCCAGAGTAAATCCAGGGACAAATGTCCTCAGACTCTTCAAATAGGGACATAGCAGGGGACACCGTGTGCCCCAAGGTCCCCTTTTCACATTCATGCCATGAATATCTAATTACAGATAACCATACTGAAAGAAACTGATTGGCTAGGAGACCTCAGGGCATCACCAGAGCGCAGATCTAAAACCCAGGCCTTCTAGCCATAGGGGATACCGAGCCTGCCCTTCAGACAGCAACCAGGGCACAGTAAGAGCAGATTGCACTCAGTTTGTTTCAGTCCAACAAGCGTCACTGTGAGAAGAAAGCTTCTTGCATCAGGAGCTACAGCAGAGTGAAGAATTAAATACAGCAAACAGGCAGCTCCATTGTATCAGGGTGGCCATGAGTGCAAACACCACTCTACCCATCAGCACAGAGCTCACAGGTCGGGAAGACATTCCAGTGGCAGCCCCAGATGTCCACTCTACCTCAGTTCTCGTGTCCTGGTTCAGCAGCCAAAACTTGTAAACCTGCCCAAACTGTCTTCAGGTGTGAGTTCTCATCAGAAATGGGATGTGGACATCTCCTGTGTCACCATTTCTCATATGTGTGCAGCCATCACACTCCTATTTGTCTTGTCCATCGAGCTGGAACACAGGAAAGCAAATCAGTACTCTGTAAACACACCCTGCTAGGCCAGATTGCAGGGCCTGGTCAAACATCTAGCTGGAGAGAAGCAGAACATTTTATGAAACAAGCTTTTCTGTCTCTTTGCAAATGCTGCTTTAGGTCCAAGCTAAGGCAATCCCAGCAGGCCTGGCAGAATAGGGTAGCTAAGTGGAGAGCCTCTAAGGGATGTCAGCTACCCAACCAAGATGTGCTGACTGATGCTCAAGTACTTAAAACATTGACTGTATGGAAAAATCACCCCTTGAATAACAATTCTTTAAAAAAAAAAAAAAAGCCAAAAAACTGTAAAATCACAACCCATTTTACATAAGTGTTTTTGACATTTGATGGTCTTTATTTCCCTCTATTTAGTGAGATAAGAAATAGCACCATCCTATACCTTAGCCCTAAGAGCCAAACTCTGAAATGAAAGGCTAAAAATAATAGTGGTGATGATGCCTAATATGTGTAGATGCTCTCTCTGGTTCAGTCTTGGTAAAAAATCAGGATTCAACCAGAGGCTGGGGGCGTGGGGAGGTGTTTGCCAGTGTAGGTGAGAGGAGAGTGCCAATCCCATGGCCTCGAGTCGTAAGGCAGGCACACATGTGGACAGGAAAAGGATCAGAATTTCCTAAGACACCTGCTTTGGGGGACAACAGGAACATCAAGTGTGATATATTCTGGTGAAATCCTCTTTGGACAGCGTTACACCTGCCTGTAATCATTTGAAATCTAAAAAGCATCAAGGCTCTTTGGCGTTCTACCCTCAGCAGATTGTAATAGATCAACAGCTTTCACACTGATTACTTCCTGAAAGCATCAGTAGTGTGGGCTTCATCCCACACAGGTGCAGAGGAATTCAGCTTCTCAAAGCTCTTTGACCTGTATCTCAGAAGCACATACCAGGCCGCAGAGGGGAGCTGCTGGCTGCTTTATTCCAGGGAGCAAAGGCTGTAGTGTGTTAAGAGTGCAGACTTAACAGCCCTGACTGCCTGACCGTGTCCCTGCTTAGCCACTGTGAGTTGTGTACCTCGTGTCAGTTTCTTCACCTCCAAATGGAGGTAGTAAAAATAACACCTGAGCCAGGTCCAGGTAAGTGCCTGGTACAAGATTAACAACTACATCAGCAGCTATCACTGTTTTAGCTAACGAGTCCACACCAGTTGGACCGGACCCCAGAGCAGTGAGGAGGGCTGCCCTTCTGAAAGCCCTTCTCAGCAGTCTATACCTTCCCGGTTTCCCGCTGGATAAGGTCCTGCAACTCTTCCGTCCAGCCTAGAAGCTCCACCAGCCGTTCCACGCTGTGAACCATGTCCCCCAGCTGGGCCACGTCCCTGCTGCGAGGACGCCAAGCCAAGGGACCCACCAAATCTCGGTTGATGAGTAGTCGGGGCACTGAGCTCCCCACGGCCTCAGATAAGCTGGCAAAAGGCTCCACCTGAAAAATGGCCCAAATGTGAGGGGCACAGTGTCGACCCCACCAGCCCTCAGGACACTTCACGCCATAGCCACTGAGGCCTTGGCGGGGGGCAGTACACTGATCAGATCTCATGGTCCAGAGAAAGCCACCACCCATCTCATTTCTTCAGTTGAGCTCCTGCTGCTTGGCCTGTGGGACGACCTTGTTTCCTCCTCCCCGGCCTTCCTCTCTAACTGCCTCTAGCTGCTTCTCCCTGCCTGCTTCCAGGACTCATCAGGGCTCCATCCTTCCTGCCTCCTCTCTGCCCATTCTCCCTGCCATGCTGTCTCCAGCACACCATAGGTGGACAGCAACCCACACTCATCCCTCTGCCCCACTCACTGTGACACCACCACCCGCACCTGGCACCCAAAGAAGCCAGTGCCCCTGGGGGTCCTGACTCGCCCAAGGCTGAGCTACTGTCCCATCTCTCCACCGTCTTCACCACCCAGACTCCACAGAGGCCTCACTAGGCCTCTTAGTCCAGCTCTTAAATGAAAGTTTCTTTTACAAGTAACAGTGTAAAAAGATGTAGATTAACAAATGGTATTGAGACTGGCTCATTATCTGGGGAAAAAATGCTCGATTCCTACCTTTCATGGAAAAAATTTCAAATAGATTAAAGGTTTAATAGTAAAACAGTTCTTGAAGAGAAAGGTTTATAAGTAAAAGTAAGTAAAAGTAGGGAAGAACTTTTTAGGCATGTCAGATAAGACAATGGAAAACAATAGATTTGACTATGTAAATACTGTCACATTGGTATCTACATAAAACTACTATGCAGAAACTATTTTTTTATAATTATACTTTAGTTTCTTTTTTTTTCCTTTTTTTAACAGATCAACGTATCAGATATGCAGAAACTTTAAAAATTTTATACACCTCTCATCACCATAAAAATATACACATTTGTGGCAAGAAGTTTATATTGCTAATTGATAAAACTAATATAATTTAACTTATACTACTAATTTATAATTAAATGAAAAATGGGCAACAGATACAAATATACACTACAAAGAGAAGAAACACAAGTGGCCAATAAACATATGAAAAGCTGAATTTCATTCTTTATTACAGAAATGCAAAAACTCTCATAACACACCATTTATTTTTAACCAATCAAATTGGCAAAAACTCAGAAAGATACATATTTTGTTACTGGTGAGGATGTCGGAAAATGGCCCCTCATACATACTTGGTAGCAAGTTCTCAATATTTACCAACATTTATCTTTTAGTTTTTTTTTTTTTTGTTTTTTTTTTAAGAAAAGTTAAGCAGTTAAACATTTATCTTTTAGAAGTACTTGCGTGAGTGTGTAAAAATAAATACACATGGATATTTACACTACAGCATTTTTAATATAAAAATTGCATACTATTTATTATTTTTATTGTCCACCAATAAGAAATTGCTAAAATAAATTTTGTTATAAATCCACAAACTCTTATCTTAAAACTCTTGTGGCTTCATGTGCTTCAGAATTCGGAATTTTTCAAATGTTAGAAAAGATCATATGGTTTATATAACATGTATGATGTCACACCTAGAGGAGATCCGGACATAGTACTCCATAATCAAACACATTAATATTTCTTCCACAAAGCGTACAAGATAAACTCTATGTATGACATCAGATTCTTCAGTTTATGCATTATTCAGTTATAGAAAAGGACCCCTCAGTTGGGACCTTGTATCAGGATAAGGGAGTCTGTTGGTGTTAACAAGGGAGCAGATGACCGAGCACGGTGGCTCACACCTGTAATCCCAGCACTTTGGGAGGCTGAGGTGGGAGGATCACTGAGCCCAGGAGTTTGAGACCAGCTGGGCAACATCACAAGACCTTGTCTCTACAAAAATGCCATGGTGTCAACCTAGCTCACAACCACCTTAAACTCCTGGGCTCAAGCAATCCTCCTGCCTTAGCCTCCCGAGTAGCTGGGACTCTGAAGTGCCACTGTGCCCGGCTAATTTTTATATTTTTAGTAGAGACAGGGTCTCACTCTTGCTCAGGCTGGTCTCGAACTCCTGACCTCAAGCAATCCTCCCACCTTGGCTTCCCAGAGTGCTAGGATTATAGGCATGAGCCACTGCACCCAGCCAAAAAATAAAAAAATTAGCAGGCATGGTGGAGCACATCTGTAGTCCCAGCTACTCAGGAAGCTGAGGCAGGAAGATCCCTTGAGTCCAGGAGTTCAAGGCTGCATTGAGCTATGATGGCACCACTGCACTCCAGCCCTAGTGACAGAGCAAGACCCCATCTCTTAAACAAACAAACAAAAAAAGCCAGCAGATTTCCACGTGCTCACACTGTTTACATGAAAACAGCAAGTTGTTGAATAGGCTGTACGGTGTTGTCCAACTTTTAGTGAAAAATCACCATCTGTATGTGTATATTTGTACAAAAAAGAAACCCAAGGGGACACAGAACAAAATGCTAACAGTGGTGGGACTGAGGTTGATTCTCTGCTTTATACCTTTATAACGTATGACTCTTTTAAAACAAGTGTATGGTACACTATTACAATCAGAAAAAAAAAAAAAGCTATTTTCATTTCACTTCAAAAATAAAGATGACTGGTGGCCCCAGTGTCCACATCTGGCAGCCAGTGTGGTCAGCCGGGCTTAGCGCCACACGCTGATCACCACAGCCCCAGCACTGCCAGGCCCTGGCTGCTCTGACCGCTCCCCATGTCCATCTTCCATCCCAGGCCTGGCCTAGGGAGCCCCGCGTGTGTTACACCCCATGTTCTTCTATCTGCTCACTCCAGGACTCCAGCTCCTACATCTCGTCCCTCCCAGACTCCAGACTCGTGTGTCCACCTGCCTGCTCAAAACCTCCATGTGGCAGCTCCTCATTCCCAAACTGTGTGACTGAGACTGAGTTCCTGAGCTCCCCCCAAACCCGCCCTTTAGGCTTCTCCATCTCAGAAGGTGGTGGCTCCTCCTCCCTGCTACTCAGCCCACAGCCCTGGAGTCCTGCAGGAGCCCACACCCTCCCACACACTGCCCCGCACCAACTCTGCATTCACACATATCTGGGCTCACCTGGCCGCCTGCCATGCCACCTGGACACCACCTGCAAGGCCCTGCTGGGTCTGCAGCTCCCACTCTTGTCCCTGCGGTGGATTCACAACCCAGCACCCAGAGGAACCCAACAATAAGTCACAGCATTCCCCTTTTGTGTTCCAACCTTGGTGCCATCAACACAGACTTTTTTTTCTTTTTAAAGACAGAGTTTTGCTCTGTCACCCCGCCTGGGATTCAGGGGCATCATCATAGCTCACTGCAACCTTGAACTCCTGGGCTCAAGCAATCCTGCCTCAGCCTCCTGTGTAGCTGGGACTACATGCATTTGCCACTGTGCCCAGCTAATTTTTATATTTTTAGTAGAGACGGGGTCTCGCTCTTGCTCAGGCTGTGTCTCAAACTCCTGACCTCAAGCAATCCTCCTGCCTCAGCCTCCCACAGTGCCAAGATTAAAGGCGTGAGCCACCACACCCCACCCATCTCCACAGACTACCTGTGCCGTGTCTCCTGCTAGACACCCCTCACCTCCATCAACCCTTAGCTCCAGTGACACCTTCTTGACCAGGCACACGCAGAATAACCAAGTTGATACTGCAGCCCATTCCCAACCCCTCCCCTTTCTGTCCTACTTGTTAATTTTCCCTATAACACAGATCATCTCCTAACAAACTACGTAGCTTCCGATATGTACATCTTACTGCGTCTGTCCAAAGCATTGATACAGGGCCCAGTACACAGGAGGCAGCAGAAGCAACTGAACAAATGCACAGCTCTGGGCCCCCAGCCCTCGGCCCCTCTGAGCACAGGTCTCTCTGGCCCTTCTGGCCCTGGGTGCCAACATCTAGTCAGACACCAGCTCAGCTCACCGCCTGATTTCTTGCTCTCATCACATCTTTTATAAATTTCCTGAGCTTCAGACCCAGATCTAGAACAACTGCTTGAATATGGCCAGTGGGTATCTCCCAGGACCCTCATACATGTGGGTGGGACCAAACTCAGCCCACCCGGTACCAAGTTGCCCCTGACCAGCAATGCCTTGATCCCACAGCCCAAGCCAGACACCTCCTTCTCCCCTCCACAGACTGTCTCCAGGCTGCTAGTCCAGCCCACTCCTTGCTGTCCCTATGATGGCCCACAGCTCTGCTTTCAGGATCGGCATCCTGGCACCTGCTCGCTCCAATCCCCAATCCCCAAAGGTCTCCCTGACCCCAAGGGTGCAGCTCCATCCCTGGGCCAATCCTCTCTGCTGTGTCAGTGCTTCCAGCACAGGATCAATCTTCCTGATCTGACCTGGGAGCCCCCTGCATCTCCACCTTCCCTCATACATGGGGCCCCACCCACACATATGGCACCTCCAGCCCAGTGGCTTCCCGCTGTCCACCTCCCATCCAGGCTGCTACTTCCTCCGTCTAGAGGCCCAGCTGAGTCCATTCTTCTTCCAAAGGTGGCACTAATGCCCCAGCCCCCAAGTGGTGACTCCTGTGCACCCCACCTCCTCTCCCCACACGGGCCCGTTGACACACCTCCAGGGAGGTCCCAAGGATGAGCAGCAGATCTGCCATGGGGAAATCAACCACATGCAGCAAGAACCTCTGGGGCAGTGGCTCCCCAAAGAACACGATATCTGGTTTCACGATGCCGGCACAGTCTGGGCAGCGGGGAATCCTGTCTGCCATGACATCTGCCTAGGGAAATAGAGAAAACAGGCCTGAGGAAGATGCTACAACACATTTTAAAAGGAAAAGGCAAAAACTATTTTTCTTTTCTTTACTAGACCACCAGGAACCAACAACTTCTTATAAAGAAAGTTTCAAACATTCACAAAAGCTGAGAGGAGTATAATGAAGCCCCCCATGTACCTAGCTTCAGCAATCACCAACATTTTGTTTCATAGCCAGTTGTTTCATATAGCCCTCCAGAATTTGGGAGGGGGCTGCTGGAGTCTTTAAAGGCAAATCCTGGACATCACATGAGTTTACTCATAACTACTTCAGCAGGTATCTAGGGTATCTAATGCTGTGCTCTGTACCTAGGATGGTGGTCAGAGACATTCAGGTGCTATGGAAATACCTGGCAGACCACACAGCCCTCCTTCAGTACTCTGTAGGCATGTGGCTGACAAGAGGCATTATTCAGCGAGAAAGGTGATATAAAACCTGGGCCTGGTCTGAGTTGAAATGACCATGGCATCTTCTCAGCCCCAGGAGGCATTAAGGTCAGCTTGAACTCACTGGCTGGCATGGTTAGGAATAGCAACATACTGCCAAAAACCGCCCCTGTAGGCCAAGGTAAAGTACGTGCAAATTATTAATATATCATGCTGTACCTGGATTAATGCCTAGGGCCACATGGAAAAGGAAGAAACTTAGGAGAAAGCTTCTAAGATAAACCTTCACAGTTAATGGGAGTTGTTTTAGCAGGCTGAATCCAGAAAGAAGCAGCAGGAAAAAATGGACCAAAGATTTCAGATTATTATCAGATAAAGATAATAAAACTATATTGTTTAAAAGGAAAAAAAAAACAAGATGAGCTTGAAATATTTATTAAAGATAGAAAACTATTATCAAGAATAATGTAACTGACTTAAAAAATAATCAAATAGAGCTTCTAAAAATCAAAAGTAGAGTAACTAAAATTAAAACTTGAAGGATTTTAGTCTCTACAACAGAATAGGATATTGATAAACCGAAAAACAGATCAAAAGAAATTATCCAGAGTGTAGCACAAGGAGGAGCAATAGTGGAGACATGGAAGAGCAGTCAGGAACCACAGAAGAGGGAGAAGATCTAATGTATGTTTAATCAGAATACATAAAATGAGGGCCCAGGGAGTGGGGCAGAGGCAGTCAACACCTGGAGAGATAATGGCTGAGCATTATCCAGGAATTCTGAAAGATACCAATCCACAGATTCAGGAAGTCCTACAAATTTTAAGCAGACTAAATAAGAAGAAATCCATATAGAAAAACCCAGCACAGAGAAATTGCAAAACTCCAAAGACAAAGACAAAAGTCTAAAAATATAAAAAGAATAGATTCTAAAGTGTGTATGAAAAGGCAAAAAACTCAGAATAGCCAACACAATATGGAAGAAGAACAAAGTCAGAGAGCTGACACTACTCGACATCGAGACTTACAGGAATCAAGATTGACATATTAGTGAAAGAATAGACAAATACATCAATAGAACAGAGCAGAGAGTTCAAAATTGATACACTCATACATATATGGTCAACTGAGCTTTGACAAAAGAGCAAAGGCAATTCAATGGAAAAGGACAGTCTTTTCAACAAAGGATGCTGGAACTGGACACACGCTAAAAACTGAACCTAGACACAGACCTTACATACTTCACTAATATTAACTCAAAATAGGTCAAAAACCTTGCCGGGCGCGGTGGCTCAAGCCTGTAATCCTAGCACTCTGGGAGGCCGAGGCGGGCGGATTGCTCGAGGTCAGGAGTTCGAAACCAGCCTGAGCAAGAGCAAGACCCCGTCTCTACTATAAATAGAAAGAAATTAATTGGCCAACTAATATATATATATAAAATTAGCCAGACGTGGTGGCGCATGCCTGTAGTCCCAGCTACTCAGGAGGCTGAGGCAGCAGGATTGCTTGAGCCCAGGAGTTTGAGGTTGCTGTGAGCTAGGCTGACGCCACGGCACTCACTCTAGCCTGTGCAACAAAGCGAGACTCTGTCTCAAAAAAAAAAAAAAAAAAAAATAGGTCAAAAACCTAAATGTGAAACAATAAAGCTTCTAGAAGATAACATAGGAGAAAACCTAGATGACCTGGGATATGCTGATGACCTTTTAGATATAATACCAAAGGCATGATGCACAAAAGAAAAAATTACTAAGTTGGACTTCATTAAAATTCAAAACTTCTGCTCTGTAAAAGACACTGTCAAGAGAATAGGACAAGCTACTGGAACAGAATAGACAAAAAATGTTTGCAAAAGACATATCTGAAAAAGACTATTATCGAAAATATACAAATAACTCTTAAAACAAAACAGTAAGAAAATAACCCAATTTAAAAATGTGGAAAAGACCTGAACAGACATCTCACCAAAGAAGATATACACATGGCAAATAAGCATATGAAATGATGCTCCACATCATATGCCATCAGGAAACTGCAAATTAAAGCAACAAGATGCCACTACACACTTATTAGAAAAGCTAAAATCCAAAATACTGAAAACACCAAATGCTGATGAGGATGCGGAGCAACAGGAACTCTCATCATTGCTGGTGGGAATGCAAAATGGTACAGCCACTCTGGAAGACAGTTTGGCCGTTTCTTACAAAACTAAACACATTTTTACCATACGATCCAGCAATCACAGTCCTTGGTATTTACCCAAATGAGCTGAAAACTTAGGTCCACACAAAAACCTGCACATGAATATTTATAGCAGTTTTATTCATTTGTCAAAATTTGAAAACAACCAACAAGTCCTTCAGTAGGTGAATGGATAAACTCTGGTATCAGACAATGGAATATTCTTCAGAGCTAAAAAGAAATGAGCTGTCAAGCCACGAAAAGACATGGAGGAAACTTAAATGCATTTTACTAAGTGAAAGAAGCCAATGTGAAAAGGCTGCATTCTGTATTACTCCATCTATGACATTTGGGGAAAGGCAAAACTATGGAGACAGTAAAAAAAAAAATCAGTGGTTGTCAGGGGTTGGTGGGGAGGGAGACATGAATAGGCAGAGCACAGAGGACTTTTAGGATAATGAAAGTGTTCTGCATGATCCTATAATGGTGGATACATGTCATTATACATTTTTCCAAACCCACAGAATGTCCAACACCAAGGGTAAACCTTAACGTAAGATACGGTCTTTAGATGACGATGATGTGTCAGTGTAGGTTCATCAGTTGTAACAAACAGGGCCACTCTGGTAGGGGATGTGGACAGTGGAGAGGCAAGTCATACGTGGGGACAAAGATATATGGGAACTGTCTGTATTTTCTACTCAATTTTGCTGTGAACCTAAAACTCCTCTAAAAAATAAAGTCTATTTTATAAAAAAGTAAAAAAATAAAAAACACTAGCCATACTAAAATCTATATTGAATCTCAAGGGACCACAGGTAGACAAAACAATCTTGAAAAAGAAAAATATAGTCGGAGCACTCACACTGCCTGATTTCAAATTACTGCAGTTCGAGACCACCCTGAGTAAGAGCAAGACCCTGTCTCTAGTAAACCTCTCTAAAATGCAAATCCCTTTACATCATTTTAAAATAAAGAAAAACATTTTCACACTATTATTGTACTATTGTCCTTCCAACTTGACACTTACAAATACACTTTATTAGATCACCCCCTCCACTCCTGTGAACTGCAGAAGGGAGACTGTCAGTGGGGTAACTCACCCAAACATCCTCCCCTGGGACGGGTCTTCGACAGACTGTGCAGGTGGCAGAGGCAAAGGTTCCATGAGCTTCAACCAGCTTTGAGGCAGGGATGCCAGACACTGAAATTCAAACCAAAGCTAAGTGTTGCTGTCTCCAGGTCAGCGCACAAGTCCAAAAGCACGACTTCTGGCTGGGCACGGTGGCTCACACCTGTAATCCTAGCACTCTGGGAGGCCAAGGCAGGTGGATTGCTCGAGGTCAGGAGTTTGAAACCAGCCTAAGCAAGAGTGAGACCCCGTCTCTACTATAAATAGAAATTAATTGGCCAACTAATATAGAAAAAAAAAAAATTAGCGGGGCAAATCGGTGCACCATGCCTGTAGTCAGCCTACTGGAGGCTGAGGCAGGAGGATTGCTTGAGCCCAGGAGATTGAGTTGCTGTGAGCTAGCTGACGCCACGGCACTCACTCTAGCCTGGGCAACAAAGTGAGACTCTGTCTCAAAAAAAAAAAAAAAAAAAAAGCACAACTTCTGGGCTTGACAGGCCTCCTGGGAGGTAAAGTCTGACATCCCTGTCTTTATCACCTATAGATGACGCTCCACCAACCAGAATAAGGCACAGGGGTTAAGGGGCTCCCAGCTGGAGCCAAATCACAATGAAAACAAAGCCTGTCAAAACAACCATTTGATATTACTATAAGTTCAAATAAAATAATCTAATACTACGAACACCATTTTCTATTCTTTAACACCAAGTAAAAATGAAGATATAATATCATAGATTTAAAAAAAAAAAACTGCTTGGTGGGAAAGACAAAAACAACTTGTTATGAAAGTTGTCTGGTTCCAAAAGACTGCAGTGGGCATGGATAGGGGCCCCCCATAATGGTCCTAACTAAGCGGTGCTGAAGCCCACCAGCAGGTACTCCCACTTCCCGAAAGGCCTGCCCTGCCTGCATCTCTGGAGAAGAGAACTCCACCATGGGGTATCCACTGCTGCCTTCTCTGGCTCCAAGCTATGGAACCCCTTCTAGCAAGGAAACACAATCCTCCTCTCTTAAATGACAGCATGTGTACAGACTGCTGAGCTGCTGCTGGCTCACTGAGAGCTGACCTCCCCTGCACCTGTCTGTGTCACTGCGTGTAAGGCCAAGGCACCACTGAAGACTTCTCTAAGCTTGGTGGCCAGAGGTCAACACAATGTGTGAATTACTGGTTTGGGCCACCATGTGGATATAGTCAAGAAATCAATCATAGACTGAGTTGACAATATTAGCCAGAATATAGTGATCTTTAGTTGGAAATGATATCAAAGCTTGTTTTAAAAGTCTTTACTTTCTAGAGATTACTCACTGATGTATTAACAATATAATTATTCTAGATTAATGTGATTGAGGGGTTTGCTTCAAAACAATCTGGTGTTTGGAGGAACACAAGAGGAAAACAGGAACTGGGCGCATCGGCAATTCAGCATGGAGACGGGGAGGAGGACGTGAGGGTTCATTACGTTTTTCTCTTATGTGTTTCAAAAAATTCCATAATAAAATTTAAAAAGAACACATAACCAGATAAAAACACATCAACTTCAGTCCTGTCCAACATGCACAGCCTAGCACGTATGCCAGGAGAACAGGCAGTGGGCCTTATACACACAGAGGACATTTTTGCGGGGACACAGGCGTAACGAGTTGGCTCAAAATAGTCCAAAGATGAAGTACAAGCACTAGGCTTCAGCCTCCCTGATGGGAAGAGAATGTGTGAGACAGAGAGAGGACTCACCTCTCCATAGTCCATCAATATTCGTTGTGTAGAGTCGCAGAAGCAGCCCTTGTCATGAAGTAGTCGGAGGAAGTAGTGAATGACATTGGGCCTGTACTTCCCAGGGTACAGTTCCTTAGCCAAAGTGAAAAAGGCTTGGGTTGTGAAAGAAAATGTAAGCTCAAAATGGCCTCGGTAAGGATGTCATACTGCTGGAGGTGCTGTAGAGGCACTCCTGGAGATCTGCAGAGAGAAAAGGAAGACTGAGCCCTTCAGAAGAGAGCCAGGAAGTGGAGTAAATGGGTAACACAGAAGGCAGTGGGGACGCAACAGTACCTGAAGTCTTGGATGCCACTGGGGTGCTGATGCCGCCCCATGACAACCACTCTCTGGCAGGCTCTGGCCCGAATCAGCTCAGCTATGTCCAGCAGGGAAAGCTTCCCTTCTCACTGTTGCTCTACTTCCAAAGACGCTTGAAGCCCCCACAGAAAAAAGATATGGCCTTCTTCCACCTGTAATTCTGACAGAAAAACAGAGTGGCAAAGGTAACAGATGACAACCAAGTCCATGCTACCAAGATTGAGCACAGTTCTGCCCTTCGCCCACCCCACATCTAGAATGACCACACACTTTCTCCAGTCCTCCCAAAAAACCAGCTTCCTAATGACTGTTGGGCAATGGACAGCAGTCCCACATCAGAACTCGGATTACTGGGAGCAAAATTCAGGTTAAAGGAACTGCACTCACTTCATCATCCCATTATAAAAGCATGTGCTAGGAGAACACGAGTTCCACACTGAAGGCTCAAGCCAGAGCCAAGAACATCTTTTTGTGGGCTTCTGGCATACTTTCTTTTTTTTTTTTTTGAGACAGTGTCTCATTCTGTTGCCCAGCTGATGCCGTGGCGTCAGCCTAGCTCACAGCAACCTCAAACTCCTGGGCTCAAATAATCCTTCTGCCTCAGCCTTCTGAGTAGCTGGGACTACAGGCATATGCCACTATGCCCGGCTGGCTAACTTTTTCTATATATTTTTAGTTGGCCAATTAATTTCTTTCTATTTTTAGTAGAGACGGGTTTCGCTCTTGCTCAGGCTAGTTTTGAACTCCCGACCTTGAGCGATCCTCCCACCTCTGCCTCTCAGAGAGCTAGGATTACAGGTGTGAGCCACTGCACTCAGCCCTCTGGGCATACTTTCAACAGAGCTGCACACTCTAACAAACCTAAGTTGTGACGAATATACAGTGACATTTAAAGAAAATTAAAATTAGACAATATGCCAAATGTTATTATACTAGAATGAAAAGTGGGCTCTAAAGACCATTCCAGAAAGAAACATTCACCCTCTGATAGCCAGGGGTTCAAACTGCTGCAGACATTTCATCTTCAAGGTCTGCAGCCATTCGGCAGCCAAAATTATACAATCAGGCAAGGCAGCAGGTAGGCTGTAGCTCTAGAGAGCTTCTCAGGTCACCTCCAGAAGCCAAGACACTAACAGGGTTTATTGTTAGGAGTATGAGATGGGCTTTCATAGGAAAACAGCACAAAACACACAATAAACAAGTCACAGGCTTCAATAAGGCGCTAGGACTTTGTAAATGACTCAACACTCAGGAAAGCAACAGGAAGAAAAAAAGCAATACAGTAAGACAAAGCCTGGGGCAGTAACTGAAAACATCCCACCAAAGTCTGCAGCTGGAGCCATGAGGCACTAAAGCTCCATGAAAGGCCACCTAGGTTTATAGAATCTTAGGACCCTCAGCTGGCATCTAGCCAAGCCCTCCATCCTCATCTCCTGGTATCACCCTGGCAACTTGCCCTGAGCTCGCAATACTCAGCCCCAGTGCACAGGCCCCTTCCTCACACCCCAAAGACTGGGGCCACCGCATTCCTTCTTCCAGCTGTCCCCATGACACTCCTCAAGGATGTCTCTGTCTGTAGTAAAGACCACCACTGGACAGGAAAAGAGATTCCACAGATCAATCTGACAACACTTCTCAAATAAATGATGAATCTAAAGCAAACACAGATGTAAAAACAGACAACTGAGAGTATTTCTTTTCTCTTTTTTTTTTGTCAATCTTAATGAAAGAGAGTATTTCTTTTACTCACTTGTCACACAGACAAGAGACAAGCACCCGAAAAACACATCTTTGGATACATGTCAGTATAATTCAGAGTTTATCTTCCAGGATGATGATCCTGTCTCACTTTTCTGTTTGCTCTTTTGTGTTTTCCTTTTGCTCCCTACAAAACCAACAAAATCTCCCCACACAACAATCTTCGGTACACGTTGCTGCCGTGGTCTCCCCCAAAGCTCTCTTTTCCCCACAGGATCCCAATGTCTTAGTACAACATATCCCACCCCAGTGGCAGTTTTAACTCCCCATTACTCCTTACCCCTCATTTCAGCCAAACAAAAGGTCTCCCTCCTTGAGGAATGCATCTTGATACCTTGTGCTCAGTGGGCACTCAAGTCCTGAATGCAAACTTCCAAAGGGGTTTTCAAATGAAAACTGGTCTGGAAGTAGACAGGAAGAAAGGGAAAGCCATGGCTCCAAAACCATCCCACCACCTATTAAATGCCCCACCTCACACAGCATTTAGGACATCTATTCGCCCAAGATCTTTACCCAAACTAGTTCCTGAGCTCCTAAATGTAAACTGCTATGAGAGGAAAGTTATTACCATTGCTGAGTGCTTACTGAGTGCAAAGGATTACGAAGAGGACCTGAAGCACATCCCTCATCTATGTAAGTTAATGTCTGTGAGCGCTGAAAGACACAGGGACAGAGCTGTACCAACCATCGAGAACATGCCTAAGCTGTGTGACTTAACACATGCTACATGGTATGAGATTTACTGGGAGTAGGGTTACCCTGAAAAGCAGGCATGGGTGCTGCCTGGGACAGAATGGAAGGACACAAAGGTTGAATTACACAGAGCCTCGAATCTAAAGTCAGGGGCAGAAGATCCAAAACACAGAAAGCCCATGCAAACAGACTACTCCTCACAGGCAACCCCATGCTTCCTGTTTTAGGACAAGTGGTAGCAAGGACTTGTTTAACGACAGTCAGTCTTGTAGATTGTTGCCAATATCAGAAATGGCTCCACGGAAGCAAGTGTGTGCTTGTCCTGGCCCCGCTCTATCCTCAGCACCTAGAACAGAGTCTGGCACAAAATGAAGGTTTCTTAGATGAATGAGGATCTCTCTGTTAAAATTGCCACAATATTTTTAGTAGCTATGTCAGACGGCATTAAGTGAATGTACCATCCTTAAATCTTTATCCATTATGGGGCATTTGTTTACTGACAACTACGGGTCTTAGGACTTTGCCACATGCAGGCTGTATTTTAGGAAAGGATTGCACAACGTGCAGTTACGCGTATGACCAAGCTGCTGGGAGTGTGAACCGCACAACTTTCATAGACGACATTGACAAGGTTAAACGTAGATGCCTTTAGATGCAGCAGCCCCAATAAATACTAGAAATCTATCCATGAAACTGTAAACTATTTCAATAAGGGAAGTAAATCACGAAACAGCCAAATGAGGGGCTTCGACAGATGAGTAGAGACGGAAGAAACTCCAAGACATCATCTGTAAAAACAGCAGGGGACGCCGCGGAACCCGCCCGGGGGAGGGGCGAGGTGTCGAGGACCACCACGTAGGGCCCGCCCGCCCTCCCGCCCCGCAGTACCTGCGCGGGAGCCCGGGCCCCGCGAGCCCAGCGTGGGCCCCAACAAGGCCGCGCGCTCCCGCCCCGGCGCCGCGCAGCCGGAGCACGACCAGCGCGCGCCGGCCCCACAGCGCCATGTTCTCGCAGCCGGAGTCCTCCAGGTTCTGCCCCGCGCAAGCCCCGCCCAGAACGCGCTCAGCCCCGCCCCGCGCGCTAGTCCCACGGCGCCATGTTCCTACAGCCGGCGTCCTCGGGGCCCGCCCCCCACCACGCAGGCCCCGCCCCGTGCCAGCCCCCCGGTGCTATGTTCCCGCAAGTCGGCGTCCTCAGGCCCGCCCCCCGCGCAGGCCCCGCCCATAGCGCCCCGGCCCCGCCCCCGCCCCCGCCCCGCGCGCAGGCCCCACAGCTCCACGTTCCCGCACTCGGAGTCCTCGGGCCCTCCCCCGCGCAGGCCCTGCCCCGCCCCGCGCAGACCCCACAGCGCCCCTAGAGTGAGGAAAACACCCAGTGGAGGCAGTTCCCTGGCCTAGTCTCTGACCTTTCACCCGAAAGACCAAATCAGAAGCCTGCACTTCTGTCTTTCCACCGGGATAGTGATAATACTCCCGGACCGCTTCCTGGAGTCAGGTATTACATTTACACCTGGTCCTAGCGAGACATCACTGGGAAGGCGCTCTTGTCATCCTCGTTTGAGGAGAAACTGCGGCTCTCGAAGGCTCACGCCACAAGGCCAGGCGACGACCACAGGCGCCCACACTCTTCAACACCTCCCTGGAACGGGGAGTTGTGCAGAAGGGCCGCAGCACTCCAGCGAAAGATTCCGTCCGGAGCGCGTGGCACGCCGTTACCCCGACAACTGGCGGGCCGCCTCCTGCCTTGGCGCTCCCGGCATGCCCCGCGCCTCGCCACGCCGGAAGTGAGTGAGCATTTCCGGCCGCCATCCCCTCAGCGTTGACGTTTAGGTAGTGCGTGTGTCCCGGGGTCTTTCTGCCGACATGAAGGACGTACCGGGCTTCTTACAGCAGAGCCAGAGCTCCGGGCCCGGGCAGCCTGCTGTGTGGCATCGTCTGGAGGAGCTCTACACGAAAAAGTGAGCACGGGGGCGCGGGGCCCCAGGTCTTTGGGACCGAGCGGGACAGGGGGGGCAGACATTGATGGGCTGAGGGCACTCAGACCCGAGTGGGGATGCCTGCGGAGGCGGGGACGAATGGGAAGAGGGGTGGTGGGCGAGGCCAGGAGGTGGGCTGAGGAATCCGAGGGGCTGAGGGGAAAAAAGGGTGACAGTCCACGAGAACTAAGGAGCAAACCTGTAGCCAGGATGTTTGGGTCTAGGATTCACTGCTTTCCTAATCGAGGTTCTATGCTGAGACTTCTGAATTCCTTTTCTTTCTGGTCTTACTAAAAGTGTTCAGGGATGGCCTGTGATTTTAGCTCTTAATTCCAAACAGGCAAACACACTTCCAGGCCTAGGTTGACACCCCCTTTTGGGAAAGAGATCCTGGTGACTTGTACTTAGCCTTGTCACAGTGTGACTATAACTACAGTTATCATTCTCACGGTCTGGAGCAGAGGACAGTGCAGTTTTATTTTCTTTTGGTTCTGCAGCTTATTGGACAGGGTACAACCACTTCCCCCTCTCCCATTGTCCCTACTTTCCATTGTATTTCACGCTGGGCTTTGTGCCCCTAGAGAGATCTTGGAGTTTGGGTTTGTTTAGAAACAGGATGACTTTCAGAACAATTAAATTGTTGCTACTGAGCACCAACCTCTTTTAAAATGAGTAGAATAAATTGTTAGCATTGGACTAGAACTGTTCCATAGGAAAATAACGCCTCCTGTAGTAACTTACCTGTTAACAACTCTGGCATTTAACATATTACCTCTCACATAGATATTCAGTACATGTTTTGACAATGTTCAGCATTCAACAGCCTTCTGCTGTTAGCAGTTTTTGAGACCAAATTATTAGTGTTTGGCAAATAATTGCTTGTGTTGGATAGCACTTTGTATTTTTCAAAGCATTTTATCTGCATTATTATATATTAGCCTTTGGTTTTTGGATTAAGTGCTATGTCACTTTCCTAGTGGTTTTATATATATTTGCTCATTTAATCCTTCCTTTATCCCATTCACAGATGAGGAAACTGAAGCTCAGTTTAATCACCTTCCCTGAGATACTCAGCTAGTAAGTAGAAGAGCTGGGGTTTCAACTTAGATCTGGATGATTTCAAAGTTCTGATTTCCAATCGAACCTCACAGTAGCTCTTTGAGATAATCTAGAAAGGTGTCCTCCATTTCATAGGTGGGAAAATTGAGACTTAGAGAAGTGAGGTGATATGAAGGTGACATAACCATTGAGTAGCAAGACCAGAAAAAGAATTGAGGTTTATTAGCTTCTGTGTTAGCATTCTTTCTGCCTCACAGTAGAGACTAGTAATAGTTAGTACAGGTTTAAATGCTTGAGGGCAGAAATATTTTGGATTTTGGGATATTTCCATTGTATAATTTACTGGTTCAGCATCCCTGATCCAAAAATCCAAAATCTGAAATGCTTCAATGAGCATTTCCTGTGAACCTCATGTTAGTGCTCAAAAAATTTTGAATTTTGGAGCATTTCTGATTTTGGAGTTTTGAATTAGAGATACTCAACCTGTATTTGTCACTTGGTAGGACTGGCAAGGCTAAAAGTGTCTATGATTGGATATTAGTTTTAAGTCTCAAGGGCCTTATATTTTTCAGGTTGTGGCATCAGCTGACACTTCAGGTGCTTGATTTTGTGCAGGATCCGTGCTTTGCTCAAGGAGATGGTCTCATTAAGGTAAATAATTTACCTTGTTAGGTCAGGCTATATGAATGTGCTCAAGGACTTGCTAAAATAATAGATGGGCTTTATGATAGTAATAATAAGGTATACCCATTATTCAGCAATCTTTTTGTGTTACATATTTACTCTTTTATTTTTCATAAGAATATGAGGAGATAAGTACTATTTTTATCCTTTGTTTTAATGTAGAAGCAGATATAAAAGTTTAACTTACCATAGGTCACAGGTAATAAGTGACACAAGAGGATTCAAACACAAACAATCTAGCTGCTTCTAAAATTCTAGCATGCTATACTTTGTTATAGCATCCCCCAATATGTTATTATTCATAGACTGTTTTGGGTTTTGGTTTTGTTTTGAGTACCCTACTTTTGGGAAACTGTTATGCAAAAATTAAAAGTTCAAAACCAATTAGAGGGCTGGGTAGGATGTAGAGGAGGATTACCACAGGAATCTTTTAGATAACTGCCATCACTCCACTCACCCACACTGACTCTGCTTGCTTGTCTGAACACTGTCTGTCCTGGGTAGTGTGGAAGATAGAGCACCTTTTGTATTTTAGTTGAGGGTGGGAGGGGTTAGAGAGGGAGTCCTGCATAATATGCTGCCTGTGTGATGGAGCACTTTTAGAATTTTCTCAACAAAAAAAATGCATATTCTTTCCTAGCTTCCCCCAGATCCCCTGACATATTTTCACAAATTTGCTCATGGGTAGCCTGCTCTTTGAAGTCTTTTGTCTTACTCTCTGATGCCTTTCTTTGATTCTGAATGAATCACAGATTTATACCAGCATTGTAACTGATACCTAGCTTATAATTATAGCCTGAGTTATTTCTCCTGAATACATTATATTTACTCACAGTGAAGCTTACCACCTTACTACCCTACCACTTGAGCTTATAAGATTTTCTTGTGGTTTATACCTATCAATTTGACATTTTACTACTCAAAGGAACTTACAATCATCTATAAGCCTAGAGATTTTGCTGGGCATTCTATCTTCTAGATTATGTGAAAAACTGATAAATGAGACCTCTCTTAATACTTGTTCCCTAAAGTTATATATATCATTGTGATAAATAATTCATAATTGTTTACCTCTATCCTTTGCTTTCTTATCTTTAAATCACTTTTCCACACATGGCAAAATAGTTTCTGAACCTTATGGTAATATGATGCTATTCAGGTTGGCAGATCTATGATTATTTTTTTCATGGACAAAGTAAACCTTTAAAAATTATTGAGATCCAGCCCACATAAGTGTAAAATATTAATAGATAGTATTCATGAATTTACAGTCACCAAAAGTAATTTTTAGTGTCTGTACTTAGTGGGCTTTTTTCCTTAAATAATTCCATAAATTAAAATAGATATTAGAAAAGTTAAAACATTCCCTCTTAATGAGGAAGGTATCTTTGGAATAGACTCTTCTAGTGAAAATGCCATTTTATTTAGATGGCTGTTTGCTGTGTGCCAGATTTAAATAACTGCCATAGGGATCTTTCCATGTTTCTGTCTTCATATCCCAGAGGAGCTTCAGGCTCTCCTAATCCAAAGTCGAGGTCATTTGGAGGGTCCCTCTCCATACTTTGCTCACACCGGGCACTCCTTTTGCACAGTTACCTAGCCATAAGCTCAGGAGTCATTGTCAGCTCCCCTTCTCTGTGACCAGCTCACCTCTGACCAAGTTGTCCAACTTACCAGCGCCTCTCAGATTCTTCATCCATCCTCACACTGTTGCTCCCTCACTCTCCTGTCTTGGCTACTGGTGGTCTCTCTCAGTCTTTTTCCTTGCTATCCTCTCAGCCCCCAGTCATGTTTCTAAAATAGAAGTGTGATCATGTTTCTCCACTGGTGTCAGCCTTGCATTTTGAAGAGCGACCAATCTTTAGTGCCTCCTATTCTGTGTTCTTCAGAAATACTCCTGAAACATAATGTAATTTTTTCTTTAGTGCTTTTGCACTTGTCTGTTCCTGCCTGGAATGTTCTTCTCTCAACTGCCCCCTCTTCCACACCAGATGTCCATCTCTCTAACTGCTCTTCATTCCTTGAAACTCAGTATTACCACTTCTGGAATAACTTTCTTTGAAGCCTCTCCCTTAGGCTGTGCTTTTTTTTTTTTTTTTTCCTCCCCTTGCTCTTGAACTCACAGTATTGTCATTTATTTGTTTAAAGACTGTTTTCTCCACTAGACCAGGAGCTCCTCAAAGACACATCATTTATCCTACGCATTCTGTGTCTGTAGTACTTTGCATAGAGTCTGAGGAAGTGCTCAAGTGTGTACTGAATGGCTAAGAAATTGGATAATGGAACATAATTAGCCTTAACCTTCTGAAATCTGAAGGCACTTCATTCTGTTTGGTTAGCAAATGTTTTAAACTGATGGTCTATTTTACTTAGAATACCTTGGAGAAAGAATATAGGGCTAGGTCTTTAGGAAATTCTTGTAGGTCTGTGCTCTAATTCCCAAAACTAGAAAGAAATCCTAATTTTCTTTAATAATCCATTGATAATCATTTATATGAACCTAAGCCTTAATATGGGTCTCCTGTTGTTAAACAAACATTTATGCATTGCTTACTATGTGATGGGCATTTTGGTTTGCAAAATCATAACTTGATCACATTGATTGTTGTTAAAAACAATGTTTGGTGGGTCTTGATTTTTGCAGACTGAAGGACATTGTATAATTTCTCACTATATTTTGGTTTCACAGCTTTATGAAAACTTCATCAGTGAATTTGAACACAGGTAAAACCCTTTTGTCAGTTTTTTACGTTGAAAATGAGTATATCTATATTCATTGACATTCAAAAATTGGTGGTTTTTATTTCAGGGTGAATCCTTTGTCTCTGGTAGAAATTATTCTTCATGTTGTCAGACAGATGACTGGTAAGTCCCACTTTGTTTCATCAAGGAGCAGATCCAAATGGTAGTTAAAATGATCATGAAATGTAAGGTAATTGAACTTTTGTATTTTGATAGACAGTAGAAGGTTTTTAGCTTATAAAAACAAAATGGCAGCCAGGCATGGTGGTGGCTCACACCTGTAATACCAGCACTCTGGGAGGCTGATGCTGGAAGATCACTTGATCTCAGGAGTTCGAGACCAGCATGAGCAAGAGTGAGACCTCATCTCTACCAAAAATAGCAAAATTAGCTGGGCATCATGGTGCACATCTGTAGTCCCAGCTACTCAGAAGGCTGAGGTGGGAGGATCACATGAGCCCAGGAGTTGGAGGTTGCAGTGAGCTAGGCTGAGCCATGGTACTCTACTCAGGGCAACAGAGTGAGACTCTGTCTTAAAATATATATATGTGTGTGTGTGTGTGTGTGTGTGTATCTGATTATAAGTTATGTTTTTATTATACTTTATGGTCTAAACCTACCTGAAGGTGTCTTGGTTGGTAAAACCTACCTGAAGGTGTCTTGGTTGGTAAAACCAGTTTATAAAGGTACTCTGTTAGTGGTTCTTCTGACTTTGTTCCTTTCTTTTCTAGATCCTAACGTGGCTCTTACTTTTCTGGAAAAGACTCGTGAGAAGGTAAACGTGAAGTTTAAGCAATACCTTTTAGAATATATGTGACTTACAGTTTGTGTCATGCTCATTATCCACAACTTTAGAGACCACAGCGTCTCTAGTCATGAAAGTTAAGTTAATGTACAGGTAACTGGCTGACTTTGTTAGTCAGCTGCCTACATTTCTGAGATTCCCTGTTTTTTGATGTCTTTAGGTGAAAAGTAGTGATGAGGCAGTGATTCTTTGTAAAACAGCAATTGGAGCTCTTAAATTAAACATCGGGGACCTGCAAGTTACAAAGGTGAGATCACCATAATATGGATTTATCTTTAGTTTAAAAAGCTGTTTATCACAGTAAAAACTGTTTATTTAAAAAATATTTTTTAACAGGAAAGTTGCAAAAATAACACAAAGAACCCCTAGATTTCCTATTGTTAACCTTTTACCACTTTTGCTTTATTCTGTGTGTGTTTATGTATAGTTTTTTTTCAAAACCATTTAAGAGTAAATTGCTGATGTGATGCCTGTTACCTTTAAACAAAAGCACTCTCCTGTATGACTGCAGCACCTCCACCCCACATCACGCCACATGGCCTCAGCTGGTCTGACCAAAGTCAGCCTACTTACCACTGACAGGTTGTGTGCTCCTCCTCCGTCGTCTTTCTGCCTCTTCAGTATTATTGAAGTTTCCTGTCTGTATTCTTATTTTCATTTTAGTGCAATTTGGGACATAGGTGTGAATTTGGGTGGCAGTGAGACCAACATATGTGGTCAGTTCACCTTGTTAAACCAGGCCCTGCACATGTTTGTGTTTGTTTTGTAATCGTAATATTAACAAAACTTTTGGCATTGAAAGTATTCAGGTTCTCATTGCCCTAAAAAATACTTTTTGTTGTTTGTTGCTTCTCAGTCTTAGCCCCATATGCATACCTATTGCATTTTGTATTGAAATATTTAATACATACCAGAAGCTTTAAGTCACCATAAGAGAGCTGTAATGGGCATCCATGGTCCCCACCAGCTCAGGAATGCAGCAGCGCCGCACAGCTCCCACAGCCTTCAGGATACTCTCCGCCAGCGAGGCTCCCTCTGGTGCCTATGTGTTTGTGTTTCCTTATGCATTGCTAAATAGGGGTATGTTGTGCTGAGTACATTTTAATATACTGGCTCCACACTAGGTTTCAGAGCCATCTGTAGACATGTGTAACCAGTGCGTTTTTACTTCTATGTGGTATTTCATTGTGTGTTTCACAACATATGTATCCAGTCTCCTGTTGAAGGCATCTTGCCTGTTTTTTCTATTGCAAATATTGCTGTTATTAGTATTTCTGTCCCTGGTCCCTGTGTGCATAGGCAGAATCTCACCAGGGTATGTTCCTGGAGACTACAGGTATAAGGTGTATTCACCTTTACCTTTATCAGATGTTGCCAGGTTTTTCTCCAGTGTGGCTTATGCCCCCCACAGCACTGTATGAGCACTCCTGAAGCTCAGTATTCTCAACACTTGATGGTTTCAGACTGTTTCACTCTTGCTGATCTAATGGAAAGGAAGTAATGTCTCACTGGGGGTTTAATTTGCATTTCTCAATTACTAGTGGTATATTGCCTATTCCATTTTTGTCCCCAGTTCTATAAATTGCCTGTTAATGTCTTTTGCCCATTTTTCTGTTGTGTTGCTTATCTCCTGATTGCTTGTGGGAGTTCTTTACATTTCCTTGGTCAGGATTCCTGGTGGGTTACATGTGCTGTAACTGTTGCTTCCTAACCTGTAGCTTGTCTTTGTACTTTTTTTCTATGTTTTGAATGAATTGAAGTTTTGCATTTTGATGTGGTCACATTGATCAATCTTTGCCTTTGTGATTTATACTTTTTTTTTTTAAACAAGTTGTTGCTCTGTTGCCTGGGTTGGAGTGCAGTGGCATTAGCCTAGCTCACTGCAACCTCAAACTCCTGGGCTTAAGGGGTCCTCCTGCCTCAGCCACCCGAGTAGCTGGGACTACAGGTGTGCACCATGACACCCAGCTAATTTTTTTTTGTTGTTATGATGGGGTCTCAATATTGCCCAGGCTTGTGTTGAGCTCGTGGCTTCAACCAATCCTCCTGCCTTAGCCTCCCAAAGTGCTGGGATTACAGGCATGAGCCACCACACCAAGCTTGTGGTTTATACTTTTTATCTTGTGATATATTACTTTAAAAATCTTTTATGCACTCTGGGAGGCCGAGGCGGGCAGATTGCTCGAGGTCAGGAGTTTGAAACCAGCCTGAGCAAGAATTGAGACCCTGTCTCTACTATAAATAGAAAGAAATTAATTGGACAACTAATATATATAGAAAAAATTAGCCGGGCATGGTGGCACATGCCTGTAGTCCCAGCTACTTGGGAGGCTGAGGCAGGAGGATTGCTTGAGCCCAGGAGATTGAGGTTGCTGTGAGCTAGGCTGACGCCACGGCACTCACTCTAGCCTGGGCAACAAAGTGAGACTCTGTCTCAAAAAAAAAAAAAAAAAAAGCACAACTTCTGGGCTTGACAGGCCTCCTGGGAGGTAAAGTCTGACATCCCTGTCTTTATCACCTATAGATGACGCTCCACCAACCAGAATAAGGCACAGGGGTTAAGGGGCTCCCAGCTGGAGCCAAATCACAATGAAAACAAAGCCTGTCAAAACAACCATTTGATATTACTATAAGTTCAAATAAAATTATATCTAATACCTACGAACACATTTTCTATTCTTTAGACACCAAGTAAAAATGAAGATATAAATATCATAGATTAAAAAAAAAACTGCTTGGTGGGAAAAGACAAAAAAACGACTTGTTATGAAAGTTGCCTGGTTCCAAAAGACTGCAGTGGGCATGGATAGGGCCCCCATAATGGTCCTAACTAACCGGTGCTGAAGCCCACAGCCAGGTACTCCCCCTTCCCCAAAGGCCTGCCCTGCTGCATCTCTGGGAGAAGAGAACTCCACCATGGGGTATCCACTGCTGCCTCTCTGGCTCCAAGCTATGGAACCCTTCTAGCAAGGAAACACAATCCTGAAGTTGAGGTGACTCCTCTTCTTAAATGACAGCATGTGTACAGACTGGCTGAGCTGCTGCTGGCTCACTGAGAGCTGACCGTCCCTGCACCTGTCTGTGTCACTGCATGTAAGGCAAGGCACCACTGAAGACTTCTCTAAGCTGCGTGGCCAGAGGTCAGCACAATGTGTGAATTACTGGTTTGGGCCACCATGTGGATATAGTCAAGAAATCATCATAGACTGAGTTTGACAATATTACAGAATTATTAGTGATTCTTTAGTGTGATAATGATATCAAAGCTATGTTTTAAAAAGTCTTTACTTTCTAGAGATACTCACTGATGTATTTAAATATATTATTTCTAGATTAAATTTGTGATGTGAGGGGTTTGCTTCAAAACAATCTGGGTGTTTGAGAGGACACAGAGGAAACAAGGACTGGCCATGCATGGAGACGGGGAGGAGGACGTGAGGGTTCATTACGTTTTTCTCTTTAGTGTTCAAAAAATTCCATAATAAAAAAAAAAAAAATTCCATAATAAAATTTTTAAAAAAGGAACCAACATACCAGATTAGCAAAACCACATCAACTTCAGTCCTGTCCAACATGCACAGCCTAGCACGTATGCCAGGAGAACAGGCAGTGGGCCCTTATACACACAGAGGACATTTTTGCTGGGGACACAGGCGTAACGAGTTGGCTCAAAAATAGTCCCAAAGATGAAGTACAAGCACTAGGCTTCAGCCCTCCCTGATGGGAAGAGAATGTGTGAGACAGAGAGAGGACTCACCTCTCTCAAGTCCATCAATATTCTGTGTGTAGAGTCGCAGAAGCAGCCCCTTGTCATGAAGTAGTCGGAGGAAGTAGTGAGTGACATTGGGCCTGTACTTCCCAGGGTACAGTTCCTTAGCCAAAGTGAAAAATGGCTTGGGGTTGTGAAAGAAAAATGTAAGCTCAAAAATGGCCTCGGGGTAAGGGATGTCATACTGCTGGAGGTTGCTGTAGAGGCCACTCCCTGGAGATCTGCAGAGAGAAAAGGAAGACTGAGCCCTTCAGAAGAGAGCCAGGAAGTGGAGTAAATGGGTAACACAGAAGGCAGTGGGGACTGCAGACAGTACCTGAAGTCTTGGATGCCACTGGGGGTGCTGATGCCGGCCCCCACCATGACAACCACTCTCTGGCAGGCTCTGGCCCGAATCAGCTCAGCTATGTCCAGCAGGGAAAGCTTCCCCTTCTCACTGTTGCCTCTACTTCCAAAGACGCTTGAAGCCCCCACAGAAAAAGATATGGGCCTTCTTCCACCTGTAATTCTGACAGAAAAAGCAGAGTGGCAAAGGTAACAGATGACAACCAATGTCATGCTACCAAGATCGAGCACAGCTCTGCCCCTTCGCACCACCCCACCATCTAGAATGACCACACACTTTTCTCCAGTCCTCCCAAAATAACCAGCTTCCTCATGACTGTTGGGCATTGGACAGCAGTCCCACATCAGAACTCAGGACTTATCTGGGAGCAAAAAATTCAGGTTAATAGGAACTGCACTCACTTCATCATTCCCATTATCAAAAGCATGTGCTAGGAGAACAGAGTTCCACACTGAAGGCTCAAGCCAGAGCCAAGAACATCCTTTTGTGGGGGCTCTGGCATACTTTCTTTTTTTTTTTTTTTTGAGACAGTGTCTCATTCTGTTGCCCAGGCTAGAGTGCCGTGGCGTCAGCCTAGCTCACAGCAACCTCAAACTCCTGGGCTCAAATAATCCTTCTGCCTCAGCCTTCTGAGTAGCTGGGACTACAGGCATATGCCACTATGCCCGGCTGGCTAACTTTTTCTATATATTTTTAGTTGGCCAATTAATTTCTTTCTATTTTTAGTAGAGACGGGTTTCGCTCTTGCTCAGGCTAGTTTTGAACTCCCGACCTTGAGCGATCCTCCCACCTCTGCCTCTCAGAGAGCTAGGATTACAGGTGTGAGCCACTGCACTCAGCCCTCTGGGCATACTTTCAACAGAGCTGCACACTCTAACAAACCTAAGTTGTGACGAATATACAGTGACATTTAAAGAAAATTAAAATTAGACAATATGCCAAATGTTATTATACTAGAATGAAAAGTGGGCTCTAAAGACCATTCCAGAAAGAAACATTCACCCTCTGATAGCCAGGGGTTCAAACTGCTGCAGACATTTCATCTTCAAGGTCTGCAGCCATTCGGCAGCCAAAATTATACAATCAGGCAAGGCAGCAGGTAGGCTGTAGCTCTAGAGAGCTTCTCAGGTCACCTCCAGAAGCCAAGACACTAACAGGGTTTATTGTTAGGAGTATGAGATGGGCTTTCATAGGAAAACAGCACAAAACACACAATAAACAAGTCACAGGCTTCAATAAGGCGCTAGGACTTTGTAAATGACTCAACACTCAGGAAAGCAACAGGAAGAAAAAAAGCAATACAGTAAGACAAAGCCTGGGGCAGTAACTGAAAACATCCCACCAAAGTCTGCAGCTGGAGCCATGAGGCACTAAAGCTCCATGAAAGGCCACCTAGGTTTATAGAATCTTAGGACCCTCAGCTGGCATCTAGCCAAGCCCTCCATCCTCATCTCCTGGTATCACCCTGGCAACTTGCCCTGAGCTCGCAATACTCAGCCCCAGTGCACAGGCCCCTTCCTCACACCCCAAAGACTGGGGCCACCGCATTCCTTCTTCCAGCTGTCCCCATGACACTCCTCAAGGATGTCTCTGTCTGTAGTAAAGACCACCACTGGACAGGAAAAGAGATTCCACAGATCAATCTGACAACACTTCTCAAATAAATGATGAATCTAAAGCAAACACAGATGTAAAAACAGACAACTGAGAGTATTTCTTTTCTCTTTTTTTTTTGTCAATCTTAATGAAAGAGAGTATTTCTTTTACTCACTTGTCACACAGACAAGAGACAAGCACCCGAAAAACACATCTTTGGATACATGTCAGTATAATTCAGAGTTTATCTTCCAGGATGATGATCCTGTCTCACTTTTCTGTTTGCTCTTTTGTGTTTTCCTTTTGCTCCCTACAAAACCAACAAAATCTCCCCACACAACAATCTTCGGTACACGTTGCTGCCGTGGTCTCCCCCAAAGCTCTCTTTTCCCCACAGGATCCCAATGTCTTAGTACAACATATCCCACCCCAGTGGCAGTTTTAACTCCCCATTACTCCTTACCCCTCATTTCAGCCAAACAAAAGGTCTCCCTCCTTGAGGAATGCATCTTGATACCTTGTGCTCAGTGGGCACTCAAGTCCTGAATGCAAACTTCCAAAGGGGTTTTCAAATGAAAACTGGTCTGGAAGTAGACAGGAAGAAAGGGAAAGCCATGGCTCCAAAACCATCCCACCACCTATTAAATGCCCCACCTCACACAGCATTTAGGACATCTATTCGCCCAAGATCTTTACCCAAACTAGTTCCTGAGCTCCTAAATGTAAACTGCTATGAGAGGAAAGTTATTACCATTGCTGAGTGCTTACTGAGTGCAAAGGATTACGAAGAGGACCTGAAGCACATCCCTCATCTATGTAAGTTAATGTCTGTGAGCGCTGAAAGACACAGGGACAGAGCTGTACCAACCATCGAGAACATGCCTAAGCTGTGTGACTTAACACATGCTACATGGTATGAGATTTACTGGGAGTAGGGTTACCCTGAAAAGCAGGCATGGGTGCTGCCTGGGACAGAATGGAAGGACACAAAGGTTGAATTACACAGAGCCTCGAATCTAAAGTCAGGGGCAGAAGATCCAAAACACAGAAAGCCCATGCAAACAGACTACTCCTCACAGGCAACCCCATGCTTCCTGTTTTAGGACAAGTGGTAGCAAGGACTTGTTTAACGACAGTCAGTCTTGTAGATTGTTGCCAATATCAGAAATGGCTCCACGGAAGCAAGTGTGTGCTTGTCCTGGCCCCGCTCTATCCTCAGCACCTAGAACAGAGTCTGGCACAAAATGAAGGTTTCTTAGATGAATGAGGATCTCTCTGTTAAAATTGCCACAATATTTTTAGTAGCTATGTCAGACGGCATTAAGTGAATGTACCATCCTTAAATCTTTATCCATTATGGGGCATTTGTTTACTGACAACTACGGGTCTTAGGACTTTGCCACATGCAGGCTGTATTTTAGGAAAGGATTGCACAACGTGCAGTTACGCGTATGACCAAGCTGCTGGGAGTGTGAACCGCACAACTTTCATAGACGACATTGACAAGGTTAAACGTAGATGCCTTTAGATGCAGCAGCCCCAATAAATACTAGAAATCTATCCATGAAACTGTAAACTATTTCAATAAGGGAAGTAAATCACGAAACAGCCAAATGAGGGGCTTCGACAGATGAGTAGAGACGGAAGAAACTCCAAGACATCATCTGTAAAAACAGCAGGGGACGCCGCGGAACCCGCCCGGGGGAGGGGCGAGGTGTCGAGGACCACCACGTAGGGCCCGCCCGCCCTCCCGCCCCGCAGTACCTGCGCGGGAGCCCGGGCCCCGCGAGCCCAGCGTGGGCCCCAACAAGGCCGCGCGCTCCCGCCCCGGCGCCGCGCAGCCGGAGCACGACCAGCGCGCGCCGGCCCCACAGCGCCATGTTCTCGCAGCCGGAGTCCTCCAGGTTCTGCCCCGCGCAAGCCCCGCCCAGAACGCGCTCAGCCCCGCCCCGCGCGCTAGTCCCACGGCGCCATGTTCCTACAGCCGGCGTCCTCGGGGCCCGCCCCCCACCACGCAGGCCCCGCCCCGTGCCAGCCCCCCGGTGCTATGTTCCCGCAAGTCGGCGTCCTCAGGCCCGCCCCCCGCGCAGGCCCCGCCCATAGCGCCCCGGCCCCGCCCCCGCCCCCGCCCCCGCCCCGCGC